TTGTTTGCCCCAAATATCACTAGTGAGAAAGATTGGGACTATAAATCTCTTTGACTTCATCTAGGACACCTTCTTTCTTTTAGTGTTTTGGGCCAAACTCGGCAGAGCTTAGAACTGATTCCTAGCACTCAGGAATCACTCCTGGCGATGCTCAGGGGACCCTATGGGGTGCCGTTGATTGAACCCACTTGTGCTGTGTGCAAGGCAACTTCCTGACCCTTTGTACTCTCTCTTCAGTCCCCCATGTTTAATGCAATTTTTTAAAAAGCAAAATGGGGCTGGAAAGAATAGTATAGGGGTCGGCATTTGCTTTGAATACAGCCAATACTGGTCTGAATCTAGCACTGCATATGGTTCCCTATGAATCCACCAGCAGAGAGCCCTGAGCACTGCTGGGAGTGGCACCAAATGCCCTCTAAGAAAAAAATAAACAAAACCAAATCCTCCCAAATTAAAATGAGTTGAAATGTAATCTCAGTTGTATGCCCGTTTGGTTGTTTTGAAAGGATAGAGATATAGTCAACATAAGTTTAGAAAAAGGTGACAGGAAACAAATGAAAGGCGTGGGAATATTATCTAAGGAAAACGTGAAAGGCCAATTTGGGAAATATATATATATATATATATATTTGAAAATGTATAGACATACATATATATCTGTGTGTTGCATACATTTTTATTAGAAATAAAAGTTCACACTTATACATGTTCTTCAGTATTATAACAAACTTCATGTTGAAAGGAAATTGGGAAATTAAAGAGGATATAAATTCTCAGAATAGCATTTGTCCATAAATTAGAAGATATGGGGCCAGAGTGATACTACGGGGGGGGGAGGGCGCTTGCCTTGCACATGGCTGACCCAAGTTTGATTCCCAGCATCCCATATGGTCTCCTGAGCACCACCAGGGGTGATTCCTGAATGCACAGCCAGAAATAACCTTGAGCATTGCCGGGTGTGACCCGTAAAGGAAAAAAAAGATATTTGTACCCTGATGTCCACTATTAACTAAAGCATGGCATCAACCCACATATCCAGGGCCCAGTGACCGGGGAATATAGACTCAATGGCATATAGAATCAGTGGACTCATACACTTTTACAGGAAAAGAGAAACTCTGCTTTATCGGACTAAGTAGGCTCCAAACAAAATAAACCCCAACAGAACAACACCCAGAAACACAGCAATCAAAATGGCAAGAACCAAAGAGAGTGACTCCAGATCCCCAGAGCAGAGAAGCAAACACTCATAGACCCCCTGCCCCCTGCTGCCCCAAAAACTCACATCACTTTTTTTCAAATGAAACTTGACCAGCAAAGAAAGGAATGGAGTGATATAGGCAAAATCTTTTGTTTTGGGTGGGCTCAGGGCTGACTCCTGGCTCTGTGCTCAGGGATCACTGCTAGCAAGGCTCAGGGGACCCTATGGGACGCTGAGGATCAAACCCCGAGTCAGCTTCTGAGCCAGGAAGGTGTCTCTTTTATGGACACTGAAGTCCCACCAACATGACACTGTTTTATAGAGTCCCAAGGAAGAAACCAAGATAAGTGTCCTACGTAGCGTAGCCCACAAGAAGACCCCGAGGAAGGCGATCATCCCTGAAGTGAGGGTGACGAAGCAGAGGCTGCTGTCTGAGCGGTGACAGGCAGTCTCCCTACTGCTCTTCCTTCCGACCTAGTGCCAGGACCTTTGTCCCCATAGATTGAGCCTCTCATGTCTCAGTTCATGACCAAACTGACCCGCCAACTTCAAACACTTGATACCTTGTCTAGATTGAGCACTGACTCCGACGGGGTGTGAAAACCATGGAAAAAAAGACTGAGACCTGCTTACTACACACACACACACACACACACACACACACACACACACACACACAATGTTCTAATGACAGTCTCCATGTGCATGTCTGGATTCCTCCCTGCACAGCTAACCCTGTCCCCAGAGCAGTCAGCATAAGGGAGCAAACTAGTCCCCCCACCTCTGCCCCCATGTGTGCGGGTGTGCCAGGATTAGGGCCAAAACAATGTTCCCACGTGGCCATGCCAGCAGGGGTGGGGCTGATCGCGCCTTCAGTTTTGCCCAACTATTCCTCAATAACAATGCCCACGTGGTAGTCCAACCTCAGAGCCCAGGATTCTCCTTTGGGAAGTACCCCCTGGGCAGAAAAGAATGCTTCTTCTTGCATCTCTGTTCCCGAGGGGCCCGATTTATCCCCTTTCTCCATAAACTGCCTCCTTGGCAAGTTCTGCTCTCCCCTACCTTGTTTACATGGACATACCTTTCCATTCCATCCCAGCTAAGCAGGCAAGGGAGGACGGGACACACACACTTTCATGCCTTCAGAAGGGTGAATCCAAAGCTCTCCTCCCCTGATGGACTGATTTTCCATCTTTACTAAGACACTGTGACTCACAATACTATTAGGAAGCGCAGGCTCAGGGTCACTCCTGACAGTGCTCAGGTCTAGGGTGCTGGGGACTGAGCCCAGGGTGCTGCAGAGCGAGACCAGTCCCTTCCCCACTGTACTCTCCCCCAGCTCCATCTCAATGTTGTTGGTGTTTTCCTTTTTGGGTCATACTCAGTGATGCACAGGGATTACTCCTGGAGGTGCTCAAGGGACCATATGGGATGCCGAGAATTGAATTTGGGTTGGCCGCATGCAAGGCGAACACCCTATCCGCTGGACTATTGCTCCAGTGCCTCACTGGTATTTTTATTTTAATGAAAAGATGAAGGCCTGCAGATGCGGAGACAGTAGGGGTGCACACGGGTAGCAGGGTCTGCTGAGTATCTCTGAGTTACACCTGCTGCTGCTACCTACCTACATTGCCCTGCACGCATCAGTGTCTGCCGTGTCTCGTCAGAGGGGGAAGTGCTTGATTTGATGGCGCGCCTGCCAGCCTTGGAGAGCCCTCTACCATTGCGGGCAGTGAGCTTTGAGCTCCCACTCCCATGTGAGGGGCAGACTGGAAGGGGGGCGATGAGGGCCCACACTGGTCTGTGGGGATATTGGGGGTGTTAATTCTCCCTTTCTGCTTGCGATGTGCACGGAAGGGGTTTGTGTGTGAGCTGATGTTGGCAGGAGGCGGTGTTCTCGGACACCCTTTGTCTGCGCTGGGGTGGGGAGAGATGGTGATGGTGGGTGGGTGTTTCTGGGTTAAGCCTCTTCATAGTCTAATGTGGAAGGAGCACTCAGGGAGCACCATGGGGCTATGATGGGCATGGCCAACTGCAATTCCCACCATGCCCAGGTGGGAGAGCTGGAGAGCCCTGCTCACTCAGACCCAACCTTGGTACTGGCTGAGTTACACCTGCTGCCTCTCCTGTTATTTTTCTTTTTGTAGCTTGGGGGCCACGCCCAAAGCTGAGATGTGGCCAATCTATTGTATTGGGGAGTCCACATCATCAGACTAAATAAAAAAATTCAGAAATACCTTGTCGACAACGCCACGTACCTTGCCACACGCAAGTCAATAAACACACAATATGTTAGGACCTTGAGGTTTATTTCCATGTAAGGAAAAATGCTTCTACGAAACCGTAAAGGCTGAGAGAGTCGTGAGTGGGGTCAGACGCCCATGCAGACCCAGTTCCCCTGCTCCTGGCCCTTCCCATTCTCCGTGCAGGTTCTTTGATGGCCAAAGACATCATCAGAACAAAGACAGTCCCCATGTTCCCCACCCCAGAGATGTCCTCACCTGGCTACAAGGACAGGGACCACGGATTCCCCGCTACTGATGCACCCTCAGGTTATTGCCTTGAAGTTTCCTGTTCCACTATTTGACATTCTGTCAAGACATTCTCTCCTCTTTCCATTTCATGAGTTTCTCTGCCCTAAGTGCTCAGTGTGTCTGTGTGTGTGTGTGAGGGTGGGGAGTAAAGGGGCAATTTTCTCAGAGCCACGGCCTCTCAGCGGGCATCTCTTGCCCAGTCGGTCCTCTCATCCCTCAAGCTTCGCAGGGCCACTCAACAGCTTTGCCACAGGAAGGGCCTCGGAGCATCACCCGACTTCTGCTCGGCCACGTGCTCCGGCTCTGCAGGTCCCCGACAGAGCCTCCTCCGGGTGACCTCGCGGCTCCTGGGTGTCCTGGCGGGTCTCTGATGGCTTGTGCCCAGCTGGCGGTTCTCACAGCTGCCCCTCCCAGGCCCACAGAGAGGGAAGCCTGTGGACTTGCTCAAGGGAGCAGCCACCCACTCATCCAAGGCCACGGGTGAGCATGTCAGGGGGAGTCTGAGCTGTGAGCAAGGTGGTTCCCATGCCCCGTCTGCCTTCCTCCTTCCAGAGTGAATGATGCATGTCAGATGCTCCTTGGCACTGCACCGATTTGAAGGGTGAAGGTGCCTGATGGTCACGATTTCAACCGTGAGCTTCTTTAGCAGGGTTTGGAATCCCCAAATGACCCATCACCTGTTTCACCTGGTCAGTCTCTATCCATGCAGCACCAGGACTGGCCTGTGGAACTAAACCAGGACGCCTGTGGCCATGCACCCTGCCAAGGACAGGTAACCACGTGGCGGCTGCATCTCTCCTCCCTCTGGCCAGATGCTCTCTGGGGCACCTGCTGTCATCATACTGGGGGACTGGGGGGGAGTCATGCCCTGACCCGGAAGTGAAAGCACCCCAGCAGCCACCTGGGCCAGTCTGCTCCCACACGTGCGTGACTGCGTCCCTCCAGAAGCAGCAGCTTGGGCAGCACTTAGATTTCATCACCAGCCCCTACGTTCCTTTCGGAGCCTCCCCAAGTGTGCCCAGCTCATGCCCCGCAATTCTTGGCCACACAGGTTGGCCGCTCAAAGGGTACTGCGGTGCTCAGGTCCCAGGGTGCGGGGGACACGCCCAGGGGCCAGCTCTGGCAGGAACCAGATACTTGGGGTGGGGGCACCCTCTAGTATCACGTGAGTCCCGCACCTTAACCCGGTCTGCTCCCTCCCGGGGCCATCTGCAGTACCCAGCATGCCAAATCATGAGCCCCAACTCCGCTGTCCAGCTGGGGCCTCCAACATCCCGGCACTGGCCTGCTGGAAGGGACGGTGCCAGCCCAGCGGTAGGGGGCCTCAGCTCCACCTGCTGTGGGTGGTCTTGTGCACCGAGAGGTAGGAGTTGGTGGTGAACGCCTTGCCGCACTGGCCGCAGGCGTAGGGCTTCTCGCCCGTGTGCGTGCGCACGTGCTTCTTGACGGCCGACAGGTTGTTGAAGGCCTTGGCGCACTGGCCGCAGGCGTAGGGCTTCTCGCCCGTGTGGATGCGCTGGTGCACGGTCAGCGAGAAGCTGCTGCTGAAGGCCTTGGCGCACTGGCCGCAGGCGTAGGGCTTCTCGCCCGTGTGCGTGCGCAGGTGCTGCGTGAGGTAGGAGCCCTTGCGGAAGGCCTTGCCGCACGCCGGGCAGCCGTAGGGCTTCTCGCCCGTGTGGATGCTGCTGTGGCCGGCCAGCGACGAGCGCGTGCTGAAGGCCTTGCCGCACTGGCCGCAGCGGTGGCGGTCCCCGCGCGTGTGCACGCGCTGGTGGCTGCGCAGGTTGCAGCTGGTGCGGAAGACGTGCGCGCACTGGCCGCAGGCGTAGGGCTTCTCGCCCGTGTGGATGCGCCCGTGCAGCCGCAGCGACGACGGGTCGTTGAAGGCCTTGCCGCAGGCGCGGCAGGCGTAGGGCTTCTCGCCGTTGTGGATGCGCCGGTGGATGGTGAGGTATGAGCGGCTGCTGAAGGCCTTGGCGCACTGGCCGCACGGGTACGGCTTCTCGCCCGTGTGCGTGCGCTGGTGCTGCGTCAGGTTCGACTTGGTGCTGAACACCTTGGAGCACTGGACGCACGCGTTGGGCTGTGCGGCCCGGTGGCTCCGCTGCGGTGGCTGCAGAGGGGGTGAGAACCGGCAGACGCTCAAAATGTGGGCTGGCTTGGGTTTGCACGCGCGCGCGTGTGTGTGTGTGTGTGTGTGCACCCGCGCACCCAGTGGTGCTCAGGGGTCACTTGGGCCTGGCAGTACTGCGGGGGTGGAGGGGACCCTATGTGGCGCCGGGGATCGAACCCGGTTGACTGCGCACAACCCCAGCCCCTCCCCGCTATCACTGTGGTCCTATATTTTGTCTTCGTGGGCCACACTCTGCATTGCTCGGGGCTCAATCCTGGCAAGGCTTAAGGTACCAGGGACTCAACCCAGGTCAGCCACATGCAAGGCAAATGGCCTACCCACTCTTGCTTCCGCCCAGTATTTTGTTTTTGGGGCCACACCTGCTGGTGCTCAGGGCTTACTTCTGGCTCTGCACTAAAGGATCTGGCTCAGGGACCATATGGGGTGCCAGGCATTGAACCCAGGTTGGCTGTGTGCAAGGCAATCACCCTTAGCTGCAGTCCTATCTCTCCGCACCCCCCATCTGTATTTTTAATACCCAAAGCTTCTATGTGACTCCCACCCGCAGCTCACAACACCTGTCACATCTCTACTGACGCTTTACTTCCTCCCCGTGCAGGCCTATGGCTTCTGCTTATTTTGAAGTTTTTTTTTTTTTATATAAAAGAAGGATCCTTCGCAACATGTCCTTATCAAATTAAGAGCACTTGGGATGGGGGCTGGAGTGATAGTACAGCGGGTAGGGCATTTGCCTTGCACACAGCTGACCCAGGATCAGTTCCCAGCATCCCATATGGTCCCCTGAGCACCGCCAGGAGTAATCCCTGAGCATCGCCAGGTGTGACCCAAAAAGCTGAAAAAAAAAAAGAAAAAGAGCACTTGGGGTAAATTTACCCAATTTGGGGCTCTTTTTGTTTTTTGGGGGGCCATACCTGGCAGTGCTCAGGGCTGACATCTGGCTCTGCATTCAGGGCTCACTCTTGGTGACGTTGGGGAACCCTACAGGGTGCCGGGGATTGAACCCGGGTCAGCCATGTGCAAGACCAGCGCCCTCCAGCTGTCCTGTCCCCCCCAGCCCCCACTACTTCATGCTTTTCAACGGTCCTTCCCTGAGTCACAACTAAGGGAACAGGGACCGTGTGAACTCAGGGATGGAGCAGCAGCAGTGTGGAGTCCTACCCACCGTGCCACACCAGCGGTCTCCAGAAACACTATTTTCCTCAGGTGGAAATGACGCTTGGCATGGAGCGATCTCTCGGGTGATGGGTGACTGTTCAGCCCTCAGGGGTTTCCCTCCCTCGAGAAGAAACCAGGCTTGGTGTCTCGTCTTACCTCCTTCACGCGAACAGAACGTTCTTTCCTAAAAGTGCGTTTCTCAGGGCCCGACCAGCTGGCCTGACGGACAGTCTCCAGACCTGAAACAAATGGAGGAGTCTGGATGGGGGGTGTGGGATGTGGAGTGTGGGGTGTGGTGTCAGCCTCAGTCGAGGCTGGCCCTTGATGAATCAGGATTTTGGAGAAAGTTTGCAATGTAGGAAACACAAGTAAGCAAACTCGGGGCAGTTCAAAGAGACCCTGAGACCGTGACAGAGAGTCGCGGGCACTTATGGAGGAGCTGGATCCAGAACATTGTAAACAGGAAAGCCTGTGGGTGACAAAAAAAATACAAAGCTTCACAGGACAAAAGGAGGGGGCTGCAGATATAGTCCAGTGGGGAGGGCATTGGTCTTGCACACAGCCGACCTGGGTTCAATCCCCAGCATCCATTATGGTCCCCCAAGTTCTTCCAGAAGTAATTCCTGAGTGCAGAGCCAGGCATAAGCCCTGAGCATCACCAGGTGTGACCCCAAAACAAAAACAAAAAAAAGCACAAGCAAAAAAAGGAAGGAAGAAAAAATTCTCCAGATTCTGGTTGTGGGCTGAAATGGACAAAGAGCTCATAGGAGACTTTAAGTTTACATCTCAAAAACTTGGGGCTGGGGCAATACTGTAGCAGGGAAGGGTGCTTGCTTTGCACATGGTTGATCTGGGTTCAATCCTGGACACCTCACTGGGCCCTGCCAGAAACGATCCCTGAGCATCACTGGGTGTGGCCCCAAAACCAAAAACTTAAATAAAAGACAACAAGAAAAATATCTCTATGCCCAGAGGTGCACAAGATGCTGAAGAGAAAGTCGAAGAGGAAAAGAAGGCAGGGCGGATGGCTGAGAACGTGTCCGCTACTTCTGTCCTTCAAAGGTCATCTGAAAAGGCTCCTGCTTGTCATTTCTCACAGTGAGACCAGCAGTGCCCTGGGCCGCGGGTGCAGCTGTCACTCACCAGGACCCCCTGACTGGCGCTCACCTGAGCACGTGCCTGGGAGCTGCTCTCTCTCCTCCGGCACCTTCTTGTGTTCTGGCGCCAGCCGGGAGATGAGACTGGGCTGGTCCACTCGGTAACCTGTTCGTGGGGAGAAGACGCCGTTGCTAGGGGGCCCATGAGTCCTGAGGGGCAATGGAAGTCCTGGTGGGGATCGGGGACCCTCAGGGGTGTCAGAAATCGAACCCAGGTTGGCCGCATGCAAGGCCAGCACCCTCTCTGCTGTCCTATCGCTCAGGTCCTTGAAAGCATCTTTTTCAAACCCATTTCAGACAGGAACCAGCGAAGGGAAGGAAGCCCCACCCTAAGGGAAGGAAAGCTCTGCCCCAAGGGAAGGGAAGCTCTGCCCCAGAGGGAAGGAAAGCTCCGCCCCAAGGGATGGGAGGCTCCGCCCCTGAGGGAAGGGAAGCTCCGCCCCAAGGGATGTGAAGCTCCGCCCCAAGGGATGTGAAGCTCCGCCCTAAGGGAAGGGAAGCTCCACCCCAGAGGAAAGGGAAGCTCCATCCCAGAGAGAAGGGAAGTTCCGCCCCAAGGGAAGGGAAGGGAAGCTCTGCCCCAGAGGGAAGGAAAGCTCCGCCCTAAGGGAAGGGAAGCTCCGCCCCAGAGAGAAGGGAAACTCCGTCCTATAGGGAAGGGAAACTCCGCCCCAGAGGGAAGGAAAACTCCGTCCCATAGGGAAGGGATGCTCCGCCCCAGAGGGAAGGGAAGCTCCGCCCCAAGGGAAGGGAAGCTCGGCCCCAGAGGGAAGGAAAACTCTGCCCCACTGGGAGGGAAGCTCCGCCCTAAGGGAAGGGAAGCTCCGCCCCAGAGGGAGGAAAGCTCCGCCTCAGAGTGAAGGGAAACTCCGCCCCAGAGGGAAGGAAAACTCCGCCCTATAGGGAAGGGAAGCTCCGCCCCAGAGGGAAGGGAAGCTCCGCCCCAAGGGAAGGGAAGCTCGGCCCCAGAAGGAAGGAAAACTCTGCCCCACTGGGAGGGAAGCTCCACCCTAAGGGAAGGGAAGCTCCGCCCCAGAGGGAGGAAAGCTCCGCCCCAGAGTGAAGGGAAACTCCGCCCCAGAGGGAAGGAAAACTCCGCCCTATAGGGAAGGGAAGCTCCGCCCCAGAGGGAAAGGAAGTCCAACCCAAGGGTTGGGAAGCTCTGCCCCGAGGGAAAGGAAGCTCCGCCCCAGAGAAAAGGGATGCTCCGCCCCAAAGAAAGGAAAGCTCCTCCCCAGAGGGAAGGAAAACTCCGCCCTATAGGGAAGGAAAGCTCCGCCCCAGAGGGAAGAGAAGCTCCGCCCCAGAGGGAAAGGAAGTCCAACCCAAGGGATGGGAAGCTCTGTCCCAGGGAAAGGAAGCTCCGCCCCAGAGAAAAGGGATGCTCCGCCCCAAAGAAAGGGAAGCGCCGCCCCGAGGGAAGGGAAGCTCCGCCCCAAACACACCCAGTGAGGGTGGCAGAGGCAGGGGATCAGGGGACCCGAGGAGGGAGACACGCATGATGATGAGTTCAGTACTGGGACCCACAAGGGCTGCCAGGCACCTGGCAGTATACTGGCAGCCCCAAAGAGAGAAAGCCACAAAGTCTTGCAGCAGGTAAAGTTCTCTCTTCTGCATCAATGGAAAGGGAAGCCCTGGAGGGGCGTCATCCCACCCGAGCCCGGGGTGCACCGGGCATTTCCTGGCCAAGCCCGGAGCATCTTCCCTGCAGAACGTGGGGTGCCTGGGTTGAGGCGGGGGCGGCTTACCCAGCTCAGCCAGGTTCCTGCAGGTTTCCAACATCACGTCCCGGTACAGGGCGCGCTGGGATGGCACCAGAAGCGCCCACTCTTCCTGTGTGAACTCTACCGCTACGTCCGCGACGCTCACTGAGGCCTAAGTGAACATAGCGTGGCTCAGTCAGGGGCTACCCCGCTGCACTGAGGTAGGAGTTCCGGCCAGGGACCCTCCCCAGCACAGCATGATCAGGCAGGGGGCCAAGTTCCGCTACCTCTGCTGACACCCAGTCCCACTGTCAGCGGGAGTCACCTTGGCCCCATCATCAGCAGGAGGTGCCTTAGGTGGGTGTCAGTCCTTTCCCGGTTAAACCCAGGAGCTTTAAGCAGGAACATCCCAGGGTCAGAAGCACAAAAAAAGGGACTGGAGCAATAGCACAGTGTGTAGGGCGTTTGCCTTGCATGTGGCCGACCACGGTTCGATTCCCAGCATCCCATATGGTCCCCCGAGCACCGCCAAGAGTAATTCCTGAGTGCATGAGCCAGGAGTGACCCCTGTGTATCACGGGGTGTGACCCAAAAAGCAAAAAAAAAAAAAGCACAAAAATACCAGGTAAGATTGATGAGTAGTTTCCAGTGAAACGCTTGTGAGTCAGACACTGTTCACTGCCATAGCTTTACCCCCAAGCCCCAGAGCCATGACGCAGGGAGAGATCTGGGTGGAAACTCTGCCCATGGGTTAGTGAGGCTAGACACCCAGAGTGGGCAGCCTGGGGCAGCCACCAGGAGGCCTCAAGGACACAAAGATACGAAGACACACACAACACACACACACGGACAGACACACACATAGACACAAGACACAGACACACAGAGACAGAGACATAGACACAAACACACACATAGGTAGTCTCTCTGCTTCTGAGTAAAGTAACGAAACTGGGGTAAGAACCACCCCCCCCGCTGTGTCTCTCTGTCTGTCTTTCTCTCTCTCTCTCTCTCTCTCTCTCACACACACACACACACACACACACACACACACACACACACACAGAGTTTCCCCCTCCCTCCCACCCAGAGTGCGTGTACATTCTCTCTCATACTCATGATCACAGGACAGGTCTTACCTGGAGCCACCTTGCCCAAAAGCTGCTGCCCAGAGCCTCCCTCTCTGGGCTTCCTTTCCGAGGGGGAGTCGAGAACACAGTGGACTGAGCTGGAGAAGAAACCACATAGGGCCGCAGGTGCGCCAGCCATCACACGCGCATCCCATCCCGACCTGCAGTGGATCTCCCCTCACCATACACTGTGTGTCCACCTCCCCCAACACACCCCCCACCCCCGCCCCACCACTTCATACTCCCACCAGAAAGGAGGTTCCCAGGTTTCCCTTCATATAAGCAGAGTCCGGGTCCCCTGAGGGTGACGCTCATTTGTAAGGGACCCCAGTGAGCCTTCATCATTTGCTGAGGGGATCGTGGTGTGACTCCATCAGGCGCCCCTCCCACCTCTACCCAGGTCCCCAGCACTCACCACATGTGGGGGGCAGCACGGTGGCCACCATCCTGGGGGGCAGCGTTAGCTTTTGTGAACCGGCAGGCCCAGGGGGGGGCCAGGAAGTTGCCTCCTGCCTCCTGCCAAGAGCGAGGGGGGGCAGGGTCTGTGGAGACATGGGGCCACTGAGAGGCATCACCCACATGCACCCAATATGCACACACCCCCTGCACACATGCACATGCGAGACACAGGCATGCCCGTCATTAGTGCTGGCCAGGGAGGCCCCAGAAGGCATTGGAGCTTTTCCTTGTTTTTTTTCTTTCATTTTTCTCTTTTGGGGGCCACACCCAGGCGTGCTCAGGGCTCTCTCGTGACTCTGTGCTCAGTGATAACTTCTGGTGGGGCTCAGGGGGCATTATGGGGTACCAGGGATTGAACCCCAGTCGGCCACGTGCAAGGCCAGCAATAAAACCCCACAGTTCTATTCTCTCTCCTATCCCTTTGCATTTTCTCACTCTATGTTGCAGTTTCCAGAGTGGGCAATGCCGCCCCACAGGGGGATATGGTGGTGGAACAATGAGGAGCACCCCCTAGGGTCCACATCCAGGAGTGATCCCTGAGCACTGAGCCAGGCGTAAGTAAGCCCTGAGCACAGCTGGGAGTGGTTCCAAAACCAACAATAAAGAAGAAAAATGCAATTCTAATAAACTTGTGTAATGTTATAGAGTCGTCCTATTCTTCAGAATAACGCACACACCCACATACGTACATATCTAGATCTATGCACACGGAAACACATTATTACATACATGCAAAAGGTTTGTTTCTACTTAGACCACAAACTGCAGCATTATAGGATGCAAGGAAACCTATTTCTCTACCGGTACACCACTGCGAATTATGCATTCAGCGTGTACTCATCTGCACGGTGCTATGTCCCGTCTTATTTACATGCACAGAGGCAAACACACCTTAGCCTTTCCCATGGGCACCAATCCATTAAACAGAAATAAATTCCAAGATGCCCTCCCTTTGGCTCCATGTATAACCAAGCCAAATTTGCCTGCAACCCACGTGCAGGGCAGATGCCTGGAACCCAATTTATTCACTTATTGCTGCATACCTGCCCTCCTGGTTCTCAAAGAAATTCAGCGAGGACAAGTGGCAACAGAAACTTGACTTCGGAGATACCTTTCTTGTCTGGTAGGGGAGAAAAAAAAAGCAAAGATTTCTTCTATGGGGTTGGAGCCACAGCACTTTGGGGAGGGCACTTGTCTCGCACGGGGTTGTCTCAGGTTTAACCCCGGCATCCCATAACCCCCCTAGCACTGCCAGGAGTGATCCCTGAATGTAGAGCCAGGAGTAAGCCTTGAGTATCTCTGAGTATGGCCCAAAAATTAAAAAAAAATTTTTTTTCTTTCCTGACGTCTTTTGCCAAGGCATCCTCTCTGTGGTGTTGCCAGGGACTGCCTTTATTTCTTTTTTGCATACCAGATTTCTCTCTCATCACCTGTTTTCCCCCAGTCACTGCAGCACTTAAAAACTGCCCAGGGCTTCACTTCTCAGGTTTTTTTTTGTTTGTTTGTTTGTTGTTTTTTGCAGCGGGCCCCTGGTCCCAGATTTGGGAGCCACACGTGGTAGTTGACTCCATCTCCCAAAGTCCAGCTCTGGGCACTTGCAAGGCTATTGACAGACATTTTAGGGTTACCCTCGGTTCCCCCATTCCCAACCCACAAGCTTCTCAGCAAGCGGGTCACAGTTGGTTTAGGGGTTTTAAGAATCCCGGGGCCCCAAATCACTCGAGGCGGCAGCTCCACGCCCCCCCATATTTGCAACAACCCCAAACAACGCCTCCCAAAAATGCAAAAAAAAAAAAAATCATCAAATGGGTGGAGGGTGTCGGCGCTGGGGCAGCCCGTGATCAGAAAAGAATCGACAGCTCGGGCCCACTGGAGGCAACAGCCTGAAGAACCCCGAGGAGAAAACAGGGCTTTCGGGAGGCAAAGGATCTAGGGTGGCCCCGGCCCCTCCCTGGACTCGAACCGGCGCCCCGCGGCCGCTCACCCCGCGCCGCCGCCGCCGCCGCCGCTTCCAGAGATGCCACGTGACCCGCGGCCCGCCAGGGGAAGACACGGCCTCGCCGCCCCCGCGCGGCTCCGGCCACGGCCACGCCCCGCTCTTTCGCTTCCGGTCTCGGACCGACTGGGGGCGGGGCGTGGGAGAGCGTCCACTTCCGGTGTCAGGCCGCGTAGTGGTGGGTGGTCACGAGCCGGGTCGTTCGCGCCAGGGCTGGGGTTGGGAGGGGGACAGCGCCGGGCTGGGCAGGCGCGACCCAGTGGACCCGTGCTTCCGCGGTTGGCTCTCCGGGCTGGGTCAGCACCAAGGACGGAGACCAGATGTGAGGGCGAGTCCGCAGGACGAGGCGGTGCCAATCAGTTTGGGGGCGGGTCTGTAGGCGGGACCAGGGTTGATATAGTGCCGGGGGGCCCCCCCCCATGTCCGTGATATAGGCGGGATGATGCTGAGGGCGTGGCCATCGTGGCGATGAGGGCGGGGTTAGGGGCGGAGATAGGGGTGGGGACAGGCTAATATAGGAGCGATGGTGTGAGGGGGCAGGGGCGGAGTCAGCTGAATAGGGGCGGGCAATACTGTGAGGGCGTGGCCACCTTAGCGATGGGGGCGGGGCAGGGCGGATAGGGGTGGGGTCAGGATGGATATGGGCGGAGCGATGGTTTGTGGGCGGGCATGGGGCGGAGTCAAAACTGAACAGGGGAGGGGCGATGCTGTGAGGGCGTGGTCATGGTGGCGATGAAGGCGGGGCGAGGTCTGAAATGGGCGAGGCCAGGGTTGCATAGGGGTGGGGTTATGATTGAGGGGCGGGGCCAGGGTTGAAATGGGGCGGTGTCAGGACTGGATATGGGTGGAGCGATAGTGTGAGAGGGGACTAGGAAAGAGGCCAGTGTGGCAATGAGGCGGGGCTAGGGTGGGCGTGGCTTAGGTCAGTGGCATTGGTGGAATTGGTGGGGGTCAGCAACCTAGAGAGCGAGGGGTGAGGGGCGGGAGGAGGTAGGCTTCGGTTGATCCCCTTTACTCTTTTCATAAAAAGTTTATTTTGGGGGGCTGGAGCGATAGCAAAGAGGGTAGGGCGTTTGCCTTGCATGGGGCCGACCCGGGTTCAATTCCCAGCACCCCGAGCACCTCCAGGAGTAATTCCTGAGTGCATGAGCCAGGAGTGACCCCTGTGCACCACCAGGTGTGACCCAAAAAGCAAAAACCAAAAAAAGTTTATTTTTTTCACTTTGCCGTGTGGAAGATGAAACCCAGGGTCTCACAATCATGCAAGGCAGGTGCTGCACCTCTTGAACCTGAGTTCACACCCTATGCTGCAGCCGTGTGGGTTTCAACCCTCCTCACTTGCCCATGGGCTGCTGTCAGTGAAATCTGATGCCCGAGGAATTCGGGGAGAGTACAGCCGGGAGGGCTCCTGCCTGACAAGCTGACCCAGGTTCCATCCCTGGCACCCTGCAGGTTCCCTGGAGCCCCACCAGGATTGATCCCTGAGTGCAGTGCCAGGAGTCAGCCAGCACCAATGGGTGTGGCCCCAAAGCCAGGAAATAGAACCACTGCCCTAGAATCGGATTTCTTAAAACTTTTTTCTATTTGAGACCCCTTTTTTGCTCCCCAAGGGGGGGATATTTCTGCCATTTTGAATGCATAAGATTGGTAAACATGGGCTGGAGTGATAGAACAGTGGGTAGAGTGCTTGCTTTACATACGACCAACCCAAATTTGACCCCTGACATCCCGTATGGCCCCTCAAGCCTGCCAGGAGTGATCCTTGAGTGCAGAAACAGGAGTCAGCCCTGAGACTGCTGGCTGTGGCCCAAAAGAACAAAAAATCATATAGTCTAGATCCTGCAGACTCCAGAGAAGGATTTGCCATGTTCCAAGAAACTGCCTCCTGGACAGCCTCCAGACAGAAACCCCTGCTCTGCCCACACACATGTTTCTTCTAACAAGTCTCCCACTTAGCCCTAGCCTGAGAATTTGGTATGCCCCTCCTCGGCACTCTGCCAACCTCCACCCCGCACACCTGCCCCCCAATCTCCAGAGAGGGTTTGTGTCTTGAAATCATTAGAACTTTGCTCAATCCAACTTCATTTGCAAATGGGCACGGGTATATTTCACACTTGCACCCCGTGGTCAGACTATTTTATTTTTCATTGGTTTCGGGGCCACATCCAACAATGCTCAGGGCTGACTCCTGTTTCTGTGCTCAGGAATCACTCCTGGCAGGGATCGAGGGACCCTAGAGGGGAGCCTGGGATAGAACCTGGGTCAGCTGCATGCAAAGCCAGCACCGTCACCCCCGCGCCATCTCTCTGGCCCCTCTTCACTGTTTCACTGTTATCCCGTTGTTCATCGATTTGCTCGAGTGGGCAGCAACAACGTCTCTATTCGTCCCATCTTATCGGTTTTAAATGCCAGAGTTTTCTCAACCAGCTGTGCCACTCAGGCCGTCCCTGGGTGTGAAATGCTCTGGACTCCCCCCGTGGACTGAGCCACGAAGAAGCAGATGACATGTGAGCACAATCCCAGGGGCTGACGAGGCAGGAAAGGCCTGGACCACAGAATGTCGGGCCCATGGGTTTTAATTTTGTGTGTGTGTGACAGTCAAGTTTCCTTGAAACTTGGAGATTGGGGGGAGAGGGTGGGGAGATGGGCCCGAGCCAGAGTCCATCAGTGCAGCTTCCTCAGGTCCAGATGGGTCAGGTAATAGAGCTGGCGACGCTGGACCTCGTAATCTTCCTCCTTCCTCCTCAAGCAGAGGGTGACCTGGGTGGTGGTGTGGGGGGAAGGGGGGCACTGGCATCAGAGGGCACGTCCCGGTCAGGGCCATCTCTGCCGTTCTGCTTGGGGTCCACCCTGGGGAGGGTCCCCTGAGCCTCACCAGCCAATGACTCCTGAGCACTGCAGGATGAGGCCCAAACCTGCCACCAATGTGATGCTCCCCAGTCGCCCCACTTAACTGCCGGGCGCTCAGTGGTTCTACTTCATCCCTACACGCTCTGTTTTGGTTTTGGGTCCCAGCCGGGGATGCTCAGGGCTGACTCCTGGCTCCGCAATCAGGAATGACTCCTGGCGGTGCTCGGGGGACCCTATGGGATGCTGGGGGTTGAACCTGGTGACTGCATGCAAGGCAAGCGCCTTACCACCCCTCAACTGAGATGTTTTAAATAGGACTCCTTCTCATAGGTACCATCACGCCAATGGTCCCTCCATCCACAGAGAGAGGGGGAAAGGGAGAGAGAGGGAGAGAGAGGGAGAGAGGGAGGGATAGAGAAGGAGAGAGAGGGAGGGAGGGGGAGAGAGGGAGGAAGAAAAAGGGAGAGGGAGGGAGAGGAGAAAGGTAGAAAGAGAGGGAGAGAGAGGGTTAGAGGGGGGAGAGAGAGGGAGGGAGAGAGGGAGGGAGAGAGAGAAAGTGCCACCAGAAGGGGAGAAAATAGTTGAAAAATTTAATCCTTGCAGGTCCAGGATATGAAATTTTTTTAGGGGGGCACACCTGGCAGTGCTCAGGGCTGACTCCTGGCTCTGTGCTCAGGAATTACTCCAGGTGGTGCTCGGGGGACCCTCTGGGATCAAACCCGGGCCAACTGCATGCAAGGCCAGTGCCCTTCCCGCTGTCCTATGGCTCCAGCCCCAGGACATGGAAACCCCAGGAAGCCCCAGGACGAGTCTCACCAGGAAGCAGCAGAGGAGGAAGAGGATGAGCACCAGGAGCCCGGCCAGGCCGATGAGGATGATGGCCCAGAAGGGGAGTTCTGGGGAGAGCAGGGCGGGATAAGGCTCCTTCCACACCCATCCTTTCCTTGGCTTCCCCCCTCCTTCCACTTCCGAACTGCCCCCGACCCCCATTATCCAGCTTTCCATATCCACCCCTCCCATGCCTGGTTCTTTTGGATCAGGTGCAAAGTGGAAAGAGCGACCCTCCCCCACCCCCCATTTCCTGGAGCCCCCTTCTTCCATGTTTACCAGGGTTCCCGGTCAAGGCTTCAGGTCGGGGGACCGAGTAGCCTGCAAAGGAACAGACGCCCGTGAGGCTTTCTCCTTGGCATTCGGATCTGCCAGCGGTCAAGCACCCCCACCCTCTCCTGCACCCCAGGAATCTCCTCAGGCCACCCCTGCCCACCCAAGTGGTTCTTCTATGCACCAGCAGAGTGCCCAGGGGTACACGGTAGACGGAAGTTCTTCACAGCTCACACCGGCTGCAGGACACACTCGAATGATGCCCCGCCCCCCCACCCCCACCCCAACCCACGGCTCCGCAAAGGCTGGAAGGGGCGGGCAGGGCTGCAGACAAGAGGATGGTGGATGTTGGGGCTGATTCCCACTCGGCCAGCTCACAGGATCACTCAGGGGATTCTGCCAAACACGAGCTTTTCTGTCGGGAACCTCCTACCCTCCACCCCTTTCTTCTTTTCTGAGACCGTTTTATTGTTTTGTTTTTGGGCCACGCCCGGCAGTGCTCAGGGCTGACTCCTGGCTCTGCACTCAGGGATCACTCCTGGTGGGGCTCGGGACCCTACGGGATGCAGAGGATCAAACCTAAGTCGGCTGCTTGCCAGGACAGCACGCTACCCACTCCCCTGTACTATCTTTCCAGCCCCTCTGAGCCGGTTTTTAGTCCAAGCCTACGATGTCAACTCCTCCAGGAAGCCTCCTCTGATTTCCTGGGATGGAACTGGTCCAAAGTAAACCATGGATAATGGTCAGTGCCCCCCTTTTGCAGGTCTCAATGGCTAAGCCTCCTCCCCAAGGGTAGTGCACGCAGCCCCCTCCCACTCCCAAACGCACCATCCACCAGGATACTCCTCCCATCCAGGGTGAAGTTCTGGAGCTGGGTGCCGTTCTGGGTGAGTCTCAGGAACTCCTCGTAGATGGCCACGCGGTCCAGTCTCCGTGCCAGGGGCAAGAAGTCACACAGGGAATCCACCCCCGTGTGCCGATTGTTGGGGACAGGCCTGCAAGGACACCGGTCTGGGAGGGACCTTCTGGAATATTCTACCCTGCTTCCTGCTTCCTCTGGGAATGTTCAGGACCTGCCTCCCTCCCTCCACCTCTCCCCGCCTAGCTTTCTGCCACAATTCCCAGCCTTTTGAGAACTTCTGATAGGGCCTAGAAAGCTAGGACAGAGGGAGAGATGCTTGCTGGGCGTGTGGCCAACCCATGTGCCCTAACCATTGCATAACCTGGCTCGTGGCATTATAAGTTTTTTTTTTTGACCAACATTTCTAGGGCTCTATTACCAAACAATTAGGATACGAAAGAATTGGGAGCCCCTTATGTTTTACCAATACTTCTGGAGAACTTCAAAGTCGGGTTGGCACTCACCTGAACGCTAAAACTTCACAGTTCGAAAAATAGCTCTTAATACTGCTGTTTCGGAAGAGCCGGTTGAGCTGAAAGACAGGGCAGTGCCACCCCAAATCAGAAGCCCAATCCAGGGGCTTTCTAGTCCTTTCCCAGCTGTCCATAACGTCTCCACGAACGCTCACCCAGACCCGCATCTCCCCTTCCCCCTGCCCCTCTCAGGAGAACGGGACGGACTCACTTGGTGCCCATTTCTCCCTCTGGAACCCCGCCACCTGCGAACCACCCCCTGGCAGGCCCAGGTGCACGGGAGGACGTACTCGGGGCCCGGGGTGCCCTACCACTCCCCTTTCTCACCGCATCCTCCAGGCCTCTCTTGTTTCGCAGGTGCTGGGCAGTGCCCGGCTGGGCCAGGTTGTGGGAATAGGGCAGGTTGGTGACAGTGAAGTTCAGCTGGAAGTGCTGGGAGCTGGTGGGCGGGCCTGTGGCGAGAGGAAGGGAGGGGCGCAGGGAAGGTTCAACCACCAGGTGGCGCCAGCTCATCGACGTAATCCTAGCAAGGGCGGTAGCTTGAGCTGCGTCGTTATTACTATTGATGGATTTGGGTGGGTGGGGGCGGTCACATGAGGCCCTACCAGGATGCTCTACTCAACACAGGTGGTGTTCAGGGATGCTTTGGTGTCTGAGAACAGCAGCCAGGGTTCAAAGTCTGAACTTCGCCCTGTGGGGTCGCTCTCTGGCCCTGAGCTGCCGGCCTTGCACACAGCAGGACCCAAGTTTCATCCCCAGCACTGCATAGCATCCCAAGACCCCACAGGGTGTGATCCCTGAGTGCAGAGCCAGAAGTCACCCCTGAGCACAGCCGGCCGTGGCCCAAACATCAAAATAACCCGCCCCCCCATGAACTTGTTGAATGAATGAGTGAATGAATGAATGAATGAATGAAACCATCAAACACGTGATCCATGATGGACTAAGCAGGCAGCTTCATTCTCTTCCTGCTGTTGCCCTTCCCTGGTGCCTCGAAGGCCCCGTCCTTCCTCCCCGCCCATCTGCCCTCCCTCCAGATGCCAGCCCCTCCCCTCAGCCCCACCTGTCACGTGCACATCGGCCAGCTGGTAGGTGGCGCCCAGCCAGTGGGAAGAGGCATTCAGGGTCCTGTTCAGGAAGACCCCCGCCACCTCCTCCGGGTCCACATCAGAGGAGAAAAGGGCCGCAACGGTGACCCGCAGGGGATCCAACCTGGGAAGAGGAGAAATGGCAAGAAATGAGGGTGTGGGGAGGCCCAGCTCCCCATTCCGTCTGCACAGCCTGCAGAGCCTGTGATGGTGTGTGTGTGTGTGTGTGTGTATGTGTGTGTGTGTGTGTGTGTGTGTGTGTGTGTGTGTGTGGAGGGGGTCCTCCCCATGATCCAGGGCAAAAACAAAACAATTAAAAACTAAAACAACCCCCCCAAATTTCACAAAACTACAAAACAAAAACCAATAAAAACAAACCAAAGAGCAAAACTAAAACAAACCCCTCAATGGGGCTGGAGTGATAGCACAGCAGGTAGGGCGTTTGCCTTGCAGCCAACATGGCCGACCCAGGTTCGATTCCCAGCATCCCATATGGTCCCCCGAGCACTGCCAGGAGTAATTCCTGAGTGCATGAGCCAGGAGTAACCCCTGAGCATCGCTGGGTGTGACCCAAAAAGCAAATAAATAAATAAATAAATAAAACCCCTCAAAACCCCAACAACAAAAACCAAAACCCCCAAATCCACAAAAACTAAAATCCAAACTAAAACTAAACAAAAAAAACCAACAAAAATAAAACAAAAACCCCCAACAACAACCCTCTTCCACAAATTAAAAACAAAACGAAAACCATAAAAAACCCAATAACAAATAAACTTCTAATCCACAAATAATACAGAAAACAAAAACAAAAACAAACCCCCCAAAGCCCATACAACAGAAACAACACCCCCAAAACACGAACACCCCCAAAAAACCTCTCCAAATCAAAACAAAAACCAACAAAACCCGCAAAAACCAAAACCCCCAAATCCACAAGGACAAAACCCAAAAATAAACAAAATAACCCAAACACCAAGACAACAACCCCAAACCCACCAAAAATAAAACAAAACCCACAAAGCAAACTAATGGACCCGCCTGCCCTCCCACCCGCGCGCCTTCGTGCCTCCACTTACGTCACATTGGTGAGCAGACAGGAGAGAAACGCGTCCTGGAGCCGGCTGCCCACGTAGACCCCCGTCACCTGGAGGGAAGGGGCACGGCAGTTCTCAGTCAGTCCCCCCAAGGGTGCAGGTGAAGGAACAGAGCCCCCAGTCGAGGCGGGCGAAGAAGGACTCCGAGCTGCCAAGTCTGCCTGGCACGCACAGGGACCCGGGAATGTGCCCCCCAAACCCCACCAAGAACGTCGAACTTGGAACCCAGGAGACCACGAGTTCAGATCCCGGGTCTGCCCCCAGGGTTCAGCCGCGCGTGCCCTTCGCCACCTCCCCCTTCCACAACACAGGGCTCCTAGAAACGGGGGTAGGGGCCCAGCACCCCACTTCTGGGAAGGAAGAGAAGGCAGGGGTGGGGAAGGGGTGCGCCACATCCGTGCTCTCTGCCGAGATGGGGGCGCCCTGGGCGGGGGAGATGAGAATGGCTGGACCAGGCCAGCCACCTTGTCCTGAATGTCCCTCTCCAGGGCAGTGAATTCTGGGGAGCCGCTGCTGCTCTTCCAGTTGACGATGCGGAAGTGGAGCTGGAATTCGCTCTGCTGAGAGGCCCTGTGGGGTGCGTAGCCTGGCGCCACAGAGAGGAGGAGCAGAGTCAGGGAGGCCTGGGGCAGAAGCAGCCCGCAGGAGACGCGAGCGTCGCACTGGGAGTTTACCCCCCCCCCCCCCCCCCCCCCAGCATCATTCTTTCATTCTTTCTCGGCAAACTCTTATGCATGATTCAGGAGCCCAAGGACAAAGCCCACCAATGGGTATCCCCCTGGGTCCCAGCCCAGTGGGGGGCAGCGCTTACCGTCCACCAACAGGCTGTCCTGAATCAGGTTGTAGGGACCCAAGTGCTGGACGCCTCGGGTCAGCTGGTACAGTTCCCAGTACAGCCGCTCCCGGGCCAGCCCCAGGCTCTTGGGGTCAGAGTAGTACAGGCAGAGCACGTCCACGCTGGTTGCCACCCTGTCCTCCTCCGGCCTGGGGGGAGGAGAGAAAGCGAGAGAGAGAGAGAGAGAGAGAGAGAGAGAGAGAGAGAGAGAGAGAGAGAGAGAGAGAGAGAGAAGACAGGAGGTCGGTGGAGAAACTGAAAAAGGAGACAATCCCCAATAATTCTGGTGGACCTTAGTATTTTTTTTATTTTTTGTTTTGTGGGTTGTTTTTGTTTTTGTTTCAGCTGTATGGGTCACACCCGATGATGCACAAGGGTTACTCCTGGCTCTGCACTCAGGAATTACCCCTGGTGGTGCTCAGGGGACCATATGGGATGCTGGGAATCGAACCCGGGTCGGCCCCATGCAAGGCAAACGCCCTACCGACCATTTTGTGTTTTTTTTTTGGGGGGGGGGCGGCACACCTGCAGTGCTCTGGGTTTACTCCGGGCTCTGCACTCAGTGATCACTCCTAGCGGTGCTCAGCGGACCCTCTGGGATGCCGGAAATTGAACCTGGGTCGGTTGCATGCAAGGCCTGTGCCTTACCTGCTGTGCTATTGCTCTGGGCCCTGGGTGACTAGTTTTCAGACCACCCCGGGCAATGCTCAGGGCTTCGTCCTGCCTCTGTGCCCAGGGATCGCTCCTGGCAGGACTGAGAGGACCCCAGGTAGAGCCGGGGATTGAACCGAGCTGGTCGCATGCCAGGTGAGCGCTGTCCCCATGGTCCCACTTCTCTGACCTCTAGCAGGGTTTCTGACACCAGGGTTTGGCTTCTCATGCAAGGGCAGTTTGGCCGTTGAATCAAGAGGACCTGTGCTTCACGGCACAGACACAGGGTCTTACTTGAGCGAAGTCAGGTGACAGGCAGAGTAGAAGGGACCCAGGACACTCCTCCGGATCAAGGGTTCAAGCTGGAGAAGGGGGAGAAGGAGGATGAGAAGAAGAGCCGGGCTGGCTGCAGGGTGGGGAGTTAGGCCATTACTGGGGTGCAGGGGTGGGGGGTCTCACCAGGCCCTTCAGGATCCTTTCGGTGCTGTTGAATTTGGCGGAACCGTAGCTCATGTCCGTGGAGTAGGGGAGGTTGGTGATGGTGAAGTTGAGAGTGAGACTTTGCAGGTGGGGGCCTGGTGCTGCAGGAAGCGGGGGAGGGGGAGGGGGGACGAGGGGTGAGGACGGAGAGCGTCGTCCAGCATGGGGAGCACTGGGATCCATCTTCCCTTCCCCCCTGCAGCACCCCCACCAAGGGTGGGAGGGTTCCCACGCGAGCTACTCGGCAGTGTGTGAGAAAAGATATCACACGTCACTTGGTGGCACACGGGTGGAAGCGGAGGGTGTTGTGTCAGGCCAAATAAATCAGAAGGAGAAGGACAAAGCAGCTGGCCAAGCTCCCTCCTTGGTGGTTTCATGAGTGACAGAACAAGGGACCAGGCAGGGTGGAGCAAAGAGCCACCCTTGGTCTTGGTCCCCGAACACTGGAAGGAAGAAAGGTGGGACAGAGGGGATGAAGGATGGAGGGTCGCAGGCGCGCGGGTGCTGGACAGCAAGGTCATAATCTGGTTTTCTTCCTGGTTTTGGTTCTGGGGCCACACCCAGAGGCACTCAGGGGCTGACTCCTGGTTCTGTGCTCAGGGCCTGGTGGGGCTTGGGGGACCTTTGAGGTTCCGGGGGTCGAACCCAGGTTTGGCTGTGTGCAAGGCCAGTGCTTTCCCTGCTGTCCTCTCTCTCTCTCTCTCTCTCTCTCTCTCTGGCCCTGTTTGCATCTCCGGGATCCAAATGGTTGTCCTGAACCCAATATAAACAAGCCTGGTCCCCCTCCTGGTCCCTCTCAGTGGCTACTGGTTGGTAGAAATGTGGGGCTGGAACCTTCTCTTGAAAGGAGCAGCTAGAGCCCCCCCTTTTTTGCTTTTTGGATCACACCCAGCGATGCTCAGGGGTTACTCCTGGCTCTGCACTCGGAATTACCCCTGGAGTTGCTTGGGGGACCCTATGGGATGCTGGAGATTGAACACAGGTCAGCTGCATGCAAGGCAAACACCCTCCCTGCTCCGGCCCCAAGCCTCACTGTTTTGTTTTTTTGGGCCACCCCTTGCTATGTTCAGGGATGACGCCTGAGTCTGCACTCAGGCATCATTCCTGGCAGTGCTCGGGGGAACTATGTGGGATGCCAAGGATCGAACCCGGGTCGGCTGCGTGCAAGGCAAGCGTCCCACCCTCGGGCCTCTCCTTCTGGCCCCACAGCAGCTCCCTCTTACCCGTGGTGGTTTCCGGCAGTAGGGTTGATGATGAAGAGGGCAGGATTGTGGTGGCCGGTTCTGGAGCTATGAGAGGGAGGTCAGGAGGCACAGCGAGCTCAGCCTGTGTGGGAGTAGTTCCCCGTGCCCCTCCACTGTGGGAGAAGCTCCCCCACACTCCCCCCTTGTTGGCCCAGCCCAAAGCTATCGTGGGCCAGCAAGGAGAAAAGGGGCCAGGTGAGGACCGCGGGTCCAGCCGTGCCCAGCCCTGCCGGATGCCAGTTCAGACTCCAACCCTCTGAGTCCAAATGGAAGGGAGATTCAGAGAGGTGTCCGTGACACCTGGGCCCCACCGCACCCTGTGTCAGAGAATCGTGTGTGCTCGCCCACAAAGGCTGCGTCGGACTCAGGCTGAGAGACACACACCAGGGGTCAGGCAGGGGCGTTCAGGGGCTGGAGCTCAGGTTGTACGTGGGGAGCCCCGGGCTCCATCCACAGCCCCCCAGCACCAACAACAGAACAAAGGAACACAAAATACAACACTTACTTTCAGGCATCTCCTCTGGACCCAGCTCATTGTAACCTAGAGAGGGAGGGAGAGAGAGAAAGAGAGAGAGAGACAGAGAGACAGACAGACAGACAGACAGACAGAAAGAGACAGAGATCACGCATCAGCAAAGAGGCACTGGCAGACCAGGAGAAGCGGTCTCCGCAGACTACAAAACCCCATTCTAGGCTGGAGAGAGGACAGTGGGAAGGTTCCTGCTTTGCGCGCAGTTGAACCCCATATGGTTGCCCCGAGCCTGCCAGGCGTGATCCCTGAGCACTGAGCCAGGAGTCAGCCCTGAGCACTGCTGCATGTGGCCCCCAAACAAAAAACACAGGGAAAAATACCCCAAATACCAATACCCTGTTCTGGGGGCCGGAGAGATGGCACAATGGGCAGAGTGCAGGCTTTGTAAGCAGGAGGCTGGGTGGGACTCCCAGTACCACAGGGTTCCCGAGGCATCGCAGGGAGGGAACTGCTCCCCAGCACAAAACTGGGAGCAGTTTTTTTTTTTTTGCTCTTTGGGTCACACACCGCAATGCACAGGGGTGCTCTGCACTCAGGAATTACTCCTGGTGGTGCTCGGGGGACCATATGGGATTCTGGGAATTAAACCCGGGCCAGCCGCGGGCAAGGCAAACCTGCTGTGCTATCACTCCAGCTCCTTGGGAGCAGCTCTTAAGCACCATTAGTGTTCTTCTCTTTTGGGGTTCTGGGACTCCTGAGGTACCTGGGGGCGGCAGACTTCAGACCCACTCACCATTGATATACAGGCTGTCCTTGTCCAAGGAGTAGGGGCCCAGCTGGGTGATGCCCTCAGTCTGCCAGCTAAGCTCGTGGAACAGCCGCTCGGCAGGGAGCCCCGGGGCGCGGGGGGCCTGGGCATAGGTGCAGGCTAAGTCCACGCCCGTCTTGGCTCCATTCTCCACTGGCCTGGGGGACACAGGTGGCCACTGAGCATGTCCCCCCATAACTTGAGGCCTGGTGCCCCATTCCCAGTGGGTCCACCTGGCTTCCCCGTGCCATCCCCCTGGATCTCTGCATGGCCCCGAGTTCCCTTCTCTCCCTGAAGGAGGTCCTGGTTCACTCCCTCCCCTCAAACATCGGCTCCTCCAAGAAGCCCCCCCCCCCAGCCCCAGGCAGGACTGTGGGGGCCTTCTCTGTCTTCCCGGCGCACATCCTCACCTCAGAGTGGCGACCTTGCAGCCCCCAAAGCGGGCCCCTAGGCTGCTCTTGAAGAACAACGGGTTGAGCTGCAAGGGGAGGGGAGATAGTGCTGAGGAGAACGCCCTCAGTCCCCGCCTGGATGGGTAGGGGGCAGGGCGACAGGGTGGTGGGCGGGGCTAGATGGGCGGGGCACACGGTTGGCGGGGGTGTCAAATGGGCGGGACAAGGGAGACGGGCGGCCAATGCCATAGGCAGGGTGGTGAGTGGGCGTGGTCTCGAGCAGGCATGTCACGAGGTGGGCGTGGCGTCGGATGGGCGGGGCGACGAGGCCTGCCACTCACCAGGTACTGTAAGACCCTGTCAGTGATGTTGAACTTGGGAGAGCCCGGCTGGCCCATGTCCGAAGCGTAGCGCAGGTTGTCGATGGTGAAGTTTACCATGAAGGACTTCTGGGAGGGCCCCCCGGCTGCGGAGGGTGCACAGGAAGGCAAGGCTAGTGACGCCAAAGGTCTCGGGCTCGGGGATCCCTTCTCCCTGCGACTGGGGGGTGCCTGTTAGTGCCCACAGCTCTGGTCTGCTGTCAGGGCAGACGCTGCGACTTGGGGAGGGGGATGTCGGGATAGACGCACTGGGGATATCTCTGTGGCCTTTGGGCTTTCAGCCAGCCCAAAAAGCCAGCCCAGGGTCTGCTCAGAGGCAGGTATGGCCAGGTAAGTGGGATCTCTGGATTTAAACGACCTCAGAGTAGTGGTGGTGTGTGTGTGGGGGGGGGGGGGCAAGTAGCTCAACTGACCTAAGTCTGAATCCTGGCACCACATGGATCCCCAAGTATGGCTGGGTGGGTTTGGTGATCTCCTTGAACCAAAACATCACCTGAGCATCACCCAAGCATCACCTGAATATCGCCTGAGTATCACCCACACACCACCCAAGAATCACTTGCGTATCACCTGAGTAATCAATCACCCAAGCATCACCTGAGTATCACATGAGCATCATCTGAGTATCACTCAAGCACCACCCTAGCATCACCTCCATATCACCTGAGTATCACCCACATACCACCCACGAATCACTTGAATATCACCTGAGTATCAACCAAGCTTTACCTTAGCATCACCTGAATATCACCTGAACATCACCTATGTATCACCCAGGTACCATCTGAGCATCACCCAAGCATTACCTGAGTATCACCTGAGCATCGCCCAAGCATCACCTGAGCATCACCTGAGTATCACCCGAGCATCATCTAAGTATCACCCAAGCACCACCAGAGCATCACCCAAGCATCACCCTAGCATCACCTGCATATCACCCAAGCATCACCCTAGTATCACATGAATATCACCCAAGCATCACTCAAATATCACCTGGGCATCGCCCAAGCATCACCTGAGTATCACCCAAATATCGCCCAAGCATCTCCCAAGCATCACATGAGTATCACTTGAGAATTATCTGAGTAACACCCAAGCACCACCAGAGCTCACCCAAGCATCGCCCTAGCATCACCTGCATATCACCCAAGCATCACATGAATATCACTCAAGCATCACATGAATGTCACCTGAGCATAACCCAAATATCACCTGAGCATCACCTGAGCATCGCCCACGCATTACCTGAGCATCACCTGCATATCACCTGAGCATCACCCAAATATCAGTTGATCACCTGAGCATCACTTGAGTATCACCTGAGCATCATCCGAGTATCACCCAAGCACCACCTGCATATCACTTGAGCATCACCCAAATATCAGCTGAGCATCACCTGAGCATCAGCTGATTGTCACCTGAACATCACCTGGAGTGATCTGCAAGGTTGCTTGAGCACTGGAATATTCCCCTCCTCCCCCCCCCCCAAATACTGAGGCTATAAAGAATTTGGGGAGCTGGAATGATAGCACAACGGGTAGGGTGGTTGCCTTGCAAGCGGCCGACGCGGGTTCGATTCCCAGCATCCCATATGGTCCCCTGAGCACAGCCAGGAGGAATTCCTGAGTGCAGAGCCAGGAGCATTTCTGGGTATGACCCCAAAAGCTAAAAAAATTAATTTGGGGGGGCAGTTAGGGTGGTGGTCAGGGCTCATTCAGGGCCGAGCTATCTAGCTAGATGCAGTGTGTGAGATAGGATGAACTGGGGGCCCTTCCAGATGCTTCCACCCACCCCCTCCAAACCAGGTGAGAGCGGGAGATCAAGGATTCCGAGCCCGCTGTGGCAGGCTGGAGGACTCACTGGAGGTGGAGGGCACCACGTCTTCGAAGCCATAACCTGTGGAGAGGAGGTGAGAACTGTCGGGATGAACTGTGGCGTATTCGAGGGACTTTGGGGAGAGCAAAGGTAGGGTAGGGGCAGGGGACATGCAGCCCTGGAGAAGGCCACTGAGCCCCTGGAGGGGTCCTAGATGATGGGGACGGAGAACTGAGCCCCGCACAGTGCTCACCGTTCACGCGGAGGCTCTTCCTGTCCAGGGCAAAGGGGCCCAGCTGGTTGACGCCCCGCGTGAGCAGGCTGAGCTCCCAGTACAGCTCCGTCCAGTCCAGCCTGGGGCCCGCGGGGTTCGTGTAGTAGCCGCAGACCAGGCCCACGCCTGTGGCACTGCCTCCGTACTCACGCCTGAGGATGGAGCCAAGGGGTTGGGGGGAATGTAGCAACTGGGGGTGGGGGGCTTCTGAGGCAGGGGGGAGCAGGAGAGCGGAAGGGCGTGGCTAAGGGCGTGAGCTCTGCCTCCTGCGTGTGTGGGGATGGGCTGGAGGCTCCGGAAACATCATTTGAAATTAACAAGAAGACAGCCGTGGAATTTTCTGGGGGTGAGGAGGACACCTGGCGGTGCTCAGGGCTGACTCCTGGCTCTGAGCTCAGGGATCACTCTTGGCGGGGCTCGGGGGACCCCGTGGGGTGCCGAGGATCCAACCTAGGTTGGCTGCGTGCGAAGCAAGTGCCCTCCCTGCTGTACTACTGCTCCAACCCCCAAGAATATAGATTTTTCCCCCTCCTTTGGTATTTGAATCCCTCCCAAACAGTGCTCAGAAGGTGACTCTGGGCCAAATGGGCCTTGGGTTCAATGCAAGGGCCTGAGGATGTAGTGCTGCTCAGGCCCTGAGGTGCTGGTGGCCCCCAGGGCTGCACCCGGCAATGCTCAGGGCACTACGCATTGCCAGGGATCAGTTCTGGGTCAGGTGCAGGCCTTAACCTCTGGACTTCTCTTCCAGGCCTAGGAAATGGAATTGCTGTGTTTGTCTTTGGGCCATACCCGGCTGTGCACCAGGCTTCCTCCCGGCTCTCTGCTGAGGGATCATTGCTGGGGGGTGGAGCTCAGGGGCCATATGAGGTCCCGGGATTGAACCCAGGTTGGCTACGTGCAGGCAAGTGCCTTCCCTGCTATACTATAGCTTTAGCCCTGGAAATGGAATTTTTTTTGCCACACCCATTGGTGCTCAGGGCTGACTTCTGGCTCTGCACTCAGTGATCACTCCTGGTGGGGCTCAAGAGACCCTGTGGGGTGCCGGGGATCGAAGCTGGTTGACCACATGGAAGGCAAACACCCTCCCTGATGTCCTATCTCTCCAGTCTTGGGGATGAAATTTTTGTTGTTATTGTTTTGATTTTTGACTTTTTCGGTCACACCCAGAGATGCTCAGGGGTGACTCCTGGCTCTGAACTCAGGAATTACTCCTGGCGGTGCTCAGGGGACCCTGTGGGATGCTGGGCATCGAACCCAGGTCAGTCACAGGGAAGGCAAGCGCCCTCCCTGCTGTGCTATCTCTAGCGCAGGGGTTCTTCTCAGAGAACTGAGTCCTTACTTACAACAACGGGTCAGGGCCGGGGAGAGAGAATAGTGGCTGACCCTGGTTCAAATCCCTGGTGTTGCCGAGGAGTCATCCCTGGAGCACAGAGCTAAGAGTCAGCCCTGAGCACTGCCGGGTGAGGCCCCACAACCAAAGAGAGAAACAAAGAAAGAAGCAAGAGGCTGCGGGAGAGAGAGCCCAGTGGGCGCGGAGGAATCAAGGCAAATGCCTTACCTGCTGTGCTATGGCTCCAGCCCAATAATAATAATAATAATAATGAAGAAGTAGGAGGAGGAGGAGAAGGTGGAGGAGGAGGAGGAGGAGGAGGAGGAGGAAGCTGCGGGAAGGGCCTTGCACATGGCCGACCCGGGTTCGATTCCCAGCATCCCATATGGTCCCCCGAGCACCACCAGGAGTAATTTCTGAGTTCAAAGACAGGAGTAACCCCTGTGCATCACCGAGTGCAACCCAAAAAGCAATAATAATAATAAAAATCACTGTCACTGTCCTCCCGTTGTTCATCGATTTGCTGAGTGGGCCCAGTAACATTGTGAAACTTGTTACTGTGTTTGGCATATCAAATGCATCACGGGGAGCTTGCCAGGCTTTGCTGTTCGGGCTAGATACTCTTGGTAGCTTGCAGTATCTCGTCCACATGGCAGAGCCTGGCAAGTTCCCCATAGCGTATTTGATATGCCAAAAACAGTAACAATAAGGCTCACAATGGAGACGTTACTGGTGCCCACTCGAGCAAATCGATGAACAATGGAAGGACAGTGCTACAGTGCTATTATTATTATTATTATTATTATTATTTGATTTTTGGGTCCCACCTGGCAATGATCAGGGGCTACTCCTGGCTCTGCACTCAGGAATTACTCTTGGCAGTGCTCAGGGGACTATATGGGATGCCGGGAATCGAACCTGGGTCGGCTGCATGCAAGGCAAACACCCTACCCGCTGTGCTATCGCTCCAGCCCCCAAGAGCTGAGTCTTTAAACCAATGGGTAGCGCTGGTCAGGGAGCCTCCATCCGGCCCACGCACCCCTGTGTGTGAGGGCAGCCACCTCACCTGAGCGACTCCAGTCTGCAGCCAGCATAAAAGGGACCCAGGAAGGTCTTGGCGAGCAACGGGTTGAGCTGGGGTGGGGGGGGGGGGGAAGGAAATGAAAAAAGTAAACGGCAGCTCTTGGGGGGGATGTGGACCAATGTGATTTTGGGGAGTGGCAACTGGTGACCGCGGGAGGCTCACCCGGTGCTGGATGATCTTGTCAGTGGAGTTGAACTTTTCGGAGCCCGGGAACCTCATGTCCTTGCTGTAGTGCTTGTTGGTGATGGTGAAGTTCAGGGTGAAGGATGCCAAGATCGGGGCAGCAGCTGCTGAGGGACAGGCCGAGGGGCAGGTGGGACCACGGGCAGCGGGGGTGACGCCAGCAGTGGGTGGGGGCTGGGGCTGGCGTGGGAAGGCAGGCAGAGACAGTCCCCCCCCCCCCAAAAAAAAAAATGACTAACAGAAAGAAAGGGGATACTCGAAGAACTGAGTTGTTTGTTTGTTTGTTTGCCACACCTGGTGGTGCTCAGGGCTGACTCCTGGCGGAGTGTTCCATTCAGGGAACACTCCTGGCGGAGCTCAGGGAACCTTGTGGGATGCTGGAAATCAAACTTGCGTCGTGCAAGACAAATGACCTTCCCTCTGTATCATCGCTCCAGCCCCACTTCCGTTTCCATTTTATTTTATTTTTGTGTGTGGGCCACTCCTGACCCAGACAGTGCGCAGAGCTGACTCCTGGCTCTGCACTCCTGGTGATGCTCAGGAGACCCTATAGGGTGCTGGGGATCGAAACTTGGTTGGCCGCATGTAAGGCAAACTCCCTCCCCACTGTCCTATCTCTGTCTCTGAGTGCAGATTTTTGGGGTTGTTTTGTTTTGGGGCCGCGCCCAGCAGCTCTCAGGGCTTCCTCTGAGCTCTGTGCCAAGGGATCACCCCTGGCAGGACTCAAGGGAACCCTATGACCCCTCTGGGGTCAGCCATGTGCAAGGCAGGTGCCTGCCCGCCCCCCCCTCCCCCCAGGAGCTCTAGCTCTGGCCCCGAGTGAGGGTCTTGGAGGTGAAGCCGGCCTGGCTTCCATCTGGGGGTTCCATGTCTGACACTGCCTGCCGTCCCCTCCCCTCAACCCAGCACTGAGCTGCGGGAAGCCCTGGAAACCACTGGGTGTGGCCCCAAAACCGAAGTAACATTATGGTGCTACCAGGAGGGGTCGGTGCCCCGCTGTGGCCTGGGTGGGGGGGAACAGGGGTGGGCAATACTCACTCTCGGGGGTGGTGGCTGGGGCCATCTGGGTGTAACCTGCAGAAAGAGGGAGGCTAAGAAAGGGGGGCAGTTGGTGACCCCCGAGGAAGAGGCCAGTGCATCACCAAAGACACCCCCAGCCATGCATGCTAGAAAGAAGGCAGAGAGAAGGAATCTAAGCCCCCCCCCCCCCCAAGAGATACCCCAGGCCTGACTTCAAACCTCAGGGCATAGGTGGGGGTGCGGGAAACCCAAGTCATTTCACAAGAGGAGACTCCCCTCCCCCCAACACCTGCCGTGCCAGTGTGCACACAGGGGAAGGAAGCACCCCCAAATCAAGACCCCCATCTCATCTCCCTGCAGAAGTCATGCTCAGGGAAGGGTCCCCATCTCTGGAGTCTAATTTATAGGTATTGTCCCTATGGTCCCAAGCCTGGAGGTGAGACGGGGAGTGGGGGGAGGGGGTGCGGCTCTTGGCTGCCACCTCCAGCGTTGTGGGGACTCAGTGGGGGTTGGGGTCCTGGTCTGGGTGCAGGAAGGGGCAGAGTTCAGGAGGAGGATTCCAGGGGAGCCCCCTCACCGCTGATGTACAGGCTGCCCCGGTCCAGGGTGTAGGGGCCCAGCTGGGACGCGCCCCCGGTCAGCTGGCTCAGCTCTTGGTATAACCGCTCCGGGGCCAGCGCCGGGTCCGCGGGGCCAGCGTGGCGGGTGCAGACCATGTCCACTCCTGTGGCCGTGCTGTGCTTCTCAGGCCTGGGGGAGGTGGCAGTGAGCTGGGCTCCTGGGGGGCCCTAAGATTCATGGGGGGCATAGGAGGAAAGGGCTAGAGGGAAAGGATGGATGGGGAGAGAGTAGAGGCCAGACGGGACAGAGTAGAGGCCAGGCGGGCACTTCCATCTGGGCCTTCCTTCTTCCCCTTTCCCTCCCTCCCTTCTTCCTCCTTCCTTTCCTCCCTCCCTTCCTCTCCTACTCCTCCCCTCCCTTCCTTCCTTCCCTCTTTCTCTTCCTCCTTTTTTTTTCTTTTCTTCCTTCCATTTCCCTCTCCCTCCCTTCCTTTCTCTTTTTTCTTTTTGGGAAACAGCACTACTCAGGGCTTAATCCTAGTTCAATGCTCAGGGATCACTCCTGATGGTGCTCTGGGAACCCCACGGGGGTTGCCAGGGATTGAACCCAGATTGGCTGCACGCAAGGCAAATGCCCTCCCTACTACTGTCCTATCGCCCAGACTCTGAGTGGCTTAGACATCTGAAGAGCGCATGCTTTTTTTTTTTCTTTTTGGGTTACACCCGGCAAAGCACAGGGATTACTCCTGGCTCTGCACTCAGGAGTTACTCCTGGCGGTGCTCAGGGGATCATATGGGATACTGAGAATTGAACCCGGGTCGGCCGCATGCAAGGCAAATGCCCTACCCGCTGTGCTATCGCTCCAGCCCGGGCACATGCTCTTAAACTCTGACACCAAGACAGCGGCATGAGCTGGGGCCCACTGGAGATGGATGAAGATGCAGGCTGGGTTCTCTGAGCACCTGCTTTGTTTTGTTTTATCCCAGCGATTTCCAGTCAGTCCAAAGTGAGGGGTGATACTCTTCAAATGTTGGGGTACTAGAGCTGGTCACCTGTGAATTCCACCCTTCCCCAGCTCCCTAGACTCACCTGAGCAAGGTGAGGTGGCAGCCAGAGAACAGGGGACCCGCACTGGTGTTCTGGAACAATGGTCGCAGCTGTGCGAAGGGGGAGAGAAGGAGATGCATGGGTGGACTGGTCCTTGTTGGGCAGGGAGGGGGCTGGTGTCGTGGACAGGACAGGAGTGGGCGATGGTCACTGGTGGGCAGGGCAAGGAGGACACCCACTCTATTGATTTTATTTATTTTTGTTTTGTTTTTTGGGTCACTCCTGGCGATGCACAGGGGTTACTCCTGGCTCATACACTCGGGAATTACTCCTGGTGGTGCTCGGGTGACCATCTGGGATGCTGGGAATCGAACCCGAGTCGGCCGCGTGCAAGGCAAACACCCTACCTGCTGTGCTATCGCTCCAGTCCCCGGAAACCCACTCTTACCAGAAACTGCAGGACTGTTTCAGTAGTGTTAAATTTCAGGGAGCCCCGGGGCCCCATGTCCACGGTGTAGCGGAGGTTGGTGATGGTAAAGTTGAGGGTGAAGAAAACTGGGGGTGGTCCTGGTGCTGCAGGAAGGGTGGGAAAAGAGAGGTCGCGCGGATTTGGGGAGCCTTTTGAGCAGAGTCTGAGGGCTGGGGAGGGACCCCCTCGCTGGAGGCAGCAGCAAAGGCTGAAGGTCCAGAATCAAGGGCAACCCATGCAGGCGAGGCAGGTGCCAGACCTGCTGTTCTTGCTCCAATTCCATTTCCGGACTTCATGCATCCCTCACCCTAACCATCCCTCTGTGCACCCAACATGTCATGTGCCTCATTCCTGCGGTGCCCCCAGCCTGGTCCAGAGCCCTCCCCTCCTGCACAGCTACAGAATCGGGTGGGAGCCTGCATGGAGAGGACGTGGTGTACTTACTACTGGGTGCAGGGCTGGAAGTCCGATGGGTATAACCTGCAGAGAGGGGAGGGGGGATGAGCTGGAGAAGAGACTTGGGGCTTTAGGGGTAAGACACGCAGTGGACTCAGAACAGGCCACTAGTGGCTTACCGTGGACGTAGACAGTCTCGGGGTCCAGGGTGTAGGGGCCCAGCTGCGAGAGTCCCCCGGTCAGCCGGCTCACTTCCCAGTACAGCTGCTCCCTGTCCAGCTCCAGGCCCGGGGGCTCAGGGCGGTGGCTGCAGACCAGGTCCACTCGTGTCGCTGTGGCGTCCTTCTCAGGCCTGGGGAGGGAAAGACCAGGTGGTGAGGATGAGGCGCCTCCTGCCAATGGTCCTTGGTGACATCATGGGGGCACCACCTGGAAAGTCGGGGCGCGGGTGGGTTCCGGTGGACAGAAGCTGGGAAGCCACGTCGGGTGCCCCTCCCATTCCTGTCGCCCCATGGCCTGCATCGTGCATTCTCTGCCTAGCAGCAAATTCCCAGGTGAAATGAAGATCTTTCCTGCTTCTACATTTGCTAAAACCCTCCCTGACAGCCTGAGTCCCACTCATCGCCCTTCTCCTTCTTCCTCCTGTGATAGGATGAAATAAAGAGGGAGGGGCCTGATAACCAAGACCTCTGATTGGCCTGTGTTTACATGTGTTATCCAATTAGCTAATAGGCCGACCTCTGATTGGCCTTTACTTAATAAGCTATCCTACTAGCCAATAGGCTAAAAGGTAGCATAGTAAATAGAGCATAGTAAAGACCACCCTGATTGGCCTTTATTAACCAAAAGGATGGCATATGCAAATAAAGGCCAATCAGAGACCAAGCTTACAAAGTCTCATTTGCATATGACACCTGCGCTGTACTATCTATCTTGCCTTTCTTTTGCTTTCTTTGGCTTGGCAATTCTGGGCATTGAACGAACACAGGACCTCACACCTGCAAGGCAAAAGAGTTCTACTGCTGAGCTGCCTCTCCAGTGTGATTCCCTATATTTTTTTGGGGGGGGAATGACTGGTCTTGGGGCCACACCTGGCAGTGCTCCAGGGACCATGTGGAGTTAGGGATCAAACCAGGTTTAACTACATGCAAAACAAGCGCTTTAGCAAGAGTGCTATCTCTCTGGTGTGTGCTTTTGAGTCACTGAACCTGGATAGACTCTAAGAGACGCTACACAAGACATCAGAAGCTCAGGAGGGGTCCAGAGTAGGGACCTGGGGGTCCTGAATTTCCCAGTTGGGGAGCTGGAAAGGGCTGACATTAAAGGCGCGATTCAGTCCTTCAGGACTCAGGTGATTAATAAGCATCTCCCCGCACACCACCATCTCCAGGGCCGCTTTCTCTGCGGGTCTCACCGGAGGGAGGTCAGTCTGCATTCGTCATCCAGGAGCCCCAGGCTAGTGTTTTCCAGCACAGACCGGAGCTATGGAAGAAGATGGAGCTGATGAGGAGGACCGAGGGGGATGGGGACAGGGGTGGCGGGAGGCAGTCTTGCAGGACGAATGAAGATTGCGATGCTGGGGCTCTTGCAGGGTTTGGGCGGCCCTCACCAGGTGTTGCAGGAGCTTTTCCACTCTGCCGAACTTGTCTGACCTAGGAGACTGCAGGTCGTCGGTGTAGCGGAGATTCGTGATGGTGAAATTGAGGGTGAATGGCACCAGGGCAGGAGCAGAGACTGGAGAGGGGGTTGAAAGAGACTATAGTAGCGGGGGTGGGGAGGGGAGCTAGATTTAGAGCACCCCGATATGGATCTCATAGGAAGGAGCCTCTCCAAGAGTCAGAAGTCAGCCCTGAGCTGACTGTGTCAGATGTGGTCATCCCTGTCAGATGTGGTCCCCAAAATCCAAAACAACAACGAGATTAAAAAAAGTACTCCAACAAACCAAAACAACTCATCTATTCATAACACAGATCTGGGGTTACCAGGAGAGCAGGCAGAAGGGGAACCCGAGGGGGTGTGGGGAATGGGGTCCCCAGACGGGAGGTGGAGAGAGATTTACTGCTACTTTGGCGCTGGGTGCCGCATGCTAAGATTTATTTTGAAGATGTATGTCAAACTCCATTTAAAACATAAGCGGTCATCAAAATACTCCCTCACCTAAAAGGAAAAAAAAAGAAAAAGAAAAAAAGTGCCTGCCATAGAGGCAGGCTGGGGGTGCAGGAGGGAAACTGGGGACATTGGTGGAGGGGAGTGGACCCTCGTGAAGGAATTGGTAATTCACAGTGATTCAATGGAAAAAAATAATCAATTAAAAACGTGTTGAAAGTAGGTAAAGGGATATTCCTTTCAGTATCTGTTTTGCCAACCACAGTGCCCAGAAGGAGAGAGAGAGAGAGAGAGAGAGAGAGAGAGAGAGAGAGAGAGAGAGAGAGAAAGAGAGAGAGAGAGAGAGAGAAGTGCCTGCCATAGAGGCAGGTGGGAGGGGGAGCCGGGGGTGGGAAGGAAACTGGGGATACTGGTGGTGGAAAATGTACACTGGTGGAGGAATGGGTATTGGAACACTGTATGACAAACCCAACCATGAACAACTTTGTAATGTGATTACAAACCTATCTCACTATGATTCAATAAAACAATTTTTTTGGAAGATAAAAGATGGTTTTTGTGTGTGTTTGTGTGTGTGTAAAAACTCAAAGGGAGATCAGCTTTTTGCTGTACCATTGTTTGGGGGAGAATATGGAAACAAGGGGATGAAGGGGGTACCTCAGTTTACCTACTCCAAGACAGGTTCCAGGATGGCTCAGGGCTCTGTGCATTGGAATGGGGGTTTGAGGACCCCCATGACCTGTCAAACTCATGGGTCTTGGACTTCAAGTTAAGACGCCTCCCTCCCATGTGGCTGACACTAACAGGAACTCTACCCCACCCCCCAGTGCTATCTGGAACAGCAACGGGGATTATACCTGAGAAGGTCAAGAAAGCACTTGAGACTGTGGGAGGAATGGTGGCTTCCGTATTATCTGGAGAGGAGATTAAAAAAAAATCTGTTGAGTTTGGGTAGGGTACCCTTCATCTTTTTTTTTTTTTGGCATTTCATTAATTTATTCATTGTGTTCAATCGACAACACTGCTCCGGATACAGTTTCAAGCATACCCATTCCAACACCATTCCTGTTTTTCATCATCATTGTCTCAGGGTTCCCTCAGACACCCGCTAGTTGTGGTAAGCTCATTTCTGGTGCCTTTGGCCCTGGAGCTGATGGGCAGAGAAAGGGAGTGGGCAGGTCTAGGAGTCTTTTTTTGGGTCACATTGGCAGTGCTCAGGGAACCCTATGTGGAGCCAGGGATCGAACTTAGGTCTGTCACGTGCAAGGCCAGGCACCCATCCACTCTTCCACTGCTCTTGCCACAAGGCTTGGGGATTTTGAGCCACTACCTTCTGGGCTGGAGCAATAGCACAGCAGGTAGGGCGTTTGCCTTGCACGTGGCCGACCCCAGGTTCAATTCCTCTGTCCCTCTCGGAGAGCCCAGCAAGCTACCGAGAGTATCCCACCCGCACTGCAGAGCCTGACAAATTTCCCGTGGCTCTTCTCACAATGGAGATGTTACTGGTGCCCGTTCGAGCAAATCGATGAACAATGGGAGGACAGTGCAGTGCTACAGTGCTACCTTCTGGGGGGAGGCATCCCATGTGGAGGAGAGAGGAGAGAAATGATGAGCCCCGGGAATCACTGTGGACTCACGTTTTGTGGGGGTGGTCCAGGGATTCTGGCGGCTGTAACCTGCAGAGGGGTGGAGAAGAACAAGGTGAGAAGCAGGGAGGGAAGAGGGCAAACTCAGGAGAGAAAGCTAGAGTGCACAGTCTTCAATGTTCGGACAGACCCTCCCACGCCCACGGCCCTCACCATCCACCACGAGACTGTCTGGCTTCAGCGTGTAGGGCCCGAGCTGGGAGCCACCGTGTGTGTACCGACTGAACTCCTCGTACAGATGTTTCCTGTCCAGCTCCCTATCCGCCGGGTCTGGGCTGTAGATGCAGACCATGTCCACGGCGGTGGTCACCCCGCCATCCTGGGACCTGAGCAGGCGGATACAGGAATTTGCTGAACGGAGTCAGGGAGGATTTTGCTCTCCTGGAGATCGTAAAGCAGCAAGAAGAATTGCAAAGACAGTCACAGATGCCAAGACAGATTCTCCTAGTTGAAGAGGCTTCCACTGAAGAAATATTCGGACGCAAATGGAAAACCTCAGTGGGGTGCGGAGCAAGGGAGCGAAGAGGGGAATTAAGAGGAGCATCTCATTACCAGGACACGCTGGGAAATGGGGGGAAGTTGTGGGAAGGGATCTGAAAGAAGTGACACTGATGCCATAGAACTCCGGCTCTGCATAGTCCCAGGTGGGCAGGCAGGAAAGGAAGCCCAAGGGCTTGAGAGCAAGGTAGCAGCTTTGCACAGGTGTTCCAGTCTCACCTAAGCAGGGTCAGTCTGCAGCCATAGTAGCGGGACCCCAAACTGGTGTTCAAGAACAGGGGCTGGAGCTGTGGAGGCGGGCAAGAGGGAAGAGAGCATTAAGAATCTGATCAGTTATCTCACAGTTATTCGATTAAAAGAATTTTTTTTTAAAAAGAAATCTTTCATAAAAGGAAGTCAACAGAATCAGCAAAGTGGGTGGTAATCAGTTTGCAGGAGCCTATAGAGGTGAGGTGGGTGGGGCTTACTCAGTGGGTGGGGTTTGTATCATGGGGACTAGGGTAAAATAGATGGTGTCACTCTGCCCGAGCCTATAGAAGTGAGCTGGGCGGGGCTTGTATCCAGGCTAAGGGTGAAGTGGGTGGGATCAGTTTGCAGGAGCCAATCGAGTCGAGGTGGGCGGGGCTTACCCAGAGTGGGCGGGGCTCGTATCAATGGGGTCTAGGGTAAAATAGGCGGTGTCAGTTTGCAGGAGCCTATCCGAGTGGGGTGGGCAGGCTCTCACCAGCTGCTGCAGGATTTGATCCAAGTTGTGGAATATTCTGGAATAAGAATGCCGCATGTCTTCCTCATAGGGCAGGTTGGTGATGGTGAAGTTGAGGGCAAATGGCACCAGGGTAGGATGAAGGCCTGCAGACGGAGTTGGGGGGTGGGGAGACGTGTTCAGAGAGCCTTAAGGATTAGCACACATGCATGTGTGCAAACACTAACGGGGATCTTCCAGGCACTGCCTACCTGATGTGGTAGGGAAGGATGTTGGTACCCCCGAGGGAGCTGTGGATGCCAATAAACCTAGAGAGAAATCAATTCTGAGTTCCTGGAATGCAGCTCCAAGGGTCCTGGAACATGTCAGTGCCATGCCCGGGGGCTTTTGTGGGTTTAACAGGGATCAGTGTGTGTGTGGGGGGGGGGGGGGGTGTGGCATAGTGAACCTTTTCTTTCCTCCAGTTCCTAAATCAAGATTTTGGGGCTTGGGAAGATTGATGGAGCCTTGGCTGTACTCACTTCTGTCGGTGGTGGTGGTGAAGGTGGGGTGGTTGTAACCTATAGATGAAAAGGAAGGATAGAGGAGGCAGAAAGAGTGAGTGGGACGGGACAAGGCAGAGGGAGCATCAGAGCCACACCACAAGGGCAGACCTAATGACCTCGGTGGTCCCCTCACCATTGATGTACAGACTGTCCCGGTCCAGCATGTAGGGCCCCAGCTGGGAGAAACCCCCAGTCTGCCGGCTCATTTCCCAGTATAGCCGCTCCTGGTCCAGTGCTGCGCCCGAGGGGTCAGGGAGTTGGGTACAGATGAGGTCCACCCTTGTGGCCTGTCCATTCTTCTCTGGCCTGGAGGGGTGGATCGGGGAATAAGGGGAGGGTGGAAGGATGGGCTTGCATATAGCTGGAGCCACAAGGCCCTGACCACTACTGGGTGTGGCCCCCAAGCAAAAGCAAATGCCCAGCTAGGGGGACACTGCTCAGGATGGGTATTAGGGGCGAGGGGTATTCACTACTCCTAAATACAGGCTTTACCTGGGACATCAAAAGAAGACAGGCAGGAGGGGCACCCCTGGGGCCTGAGGAAGGACAGCACTTGATACAGGTATTTCCGTCTCACCTGGACTGGGTCAGTCTGCAGCCATTGTAGCGGGGCCCCAGGCTGGTGTTCCGGAACAGGGGCAAGAGCTGTGGAGGGGTAAGGGAGGGACATGAAGGATTTGTCTAGGGGAACAAGGGGGTGGGCGGGGTTTATATCCTTGGGGGCAAGGTGAAGGGGAGCATCAGGTTACAGGCACTTGCAGAGGTGAGGTGGGCTGGGCTTGTACCACTGGGCGGGGCTACACCAGTGGGCTCGGCCTGAGCGTGGCTTACCAGTGGGCAGGGTTTGTACCACTTGGGCGGGGCTTACGCCTGTGGGCGGGGCTTGTATCTATAGGGACCGAGGTGCGTGGCGGTGAGCGGAGCAGGGCAGGCAGGAGGGGCAGGACTCTCACCAGCTGCTGTAGGATCCTCTCCGTGTTGTTGAAGATTATGGAATCTGGACGATTCATGTCCTCCACATAGGGCAGGTTGGTGATGGTGAAGTTGAGGGTGAATGTCACCAGGATGGGGCCAGGGGCTGTGGGGGTGGGGGTAGCGGGAGACACATGTGCAGTAAGTTCAGGCTGAGAATCTGGGTCTGGCCACCCCATGTGCACGCCTGCACGTCTTGTGGGCAGTTAGTTCCCTGAGAGGGATGTCTTTGCCATCACCTTTATGGAGGGGGCCCGGGTTATGGATGGCAGCCTGGAGGCAGAAATACCCCTAACGAAGTCTGACTTGCAGGAGGGGGTGGTGGAGCAAACAGGCACATTAGCAGCCGCCTTTTTTGATTTTTTTTTTTTAAAGAATCCAATTGGTTCCTGTGAGCTGCCTCTGTATTGCCTTATTTATTTATTTTGCTTTTTGGGTCACACCTGGCAATGCTCAGGGGGTTACTCCTGGCTCTACTCTCAGGAGTTACTCCTGGCAGTGCTCGGGGGACCCTATGGGATGTCGGGGATTGAACCCGGGTCGGCTGCATGCAAGGCAAGCACCCTCCCCGCTGGACTATGGCTCTGGCCCCCCTATTGTTTTTAAAGCCTTTCAGGGAAACCGCGGAGAATGACTCACTTGTGGACACAGGGACAGTGCTGGACATGGTAGTCGAAGTCGGGGATGTCAGCCCTGGGAGGAAACAGAGACGAATAGAAGGGGCCAAGGGGCCCTCCTCGGGAAGAGGGCATGTTCCACACGCAGACAATCAAGTCCTTTTGGGGTCCTTAGACTGGTCTGGAGCCAGTCAGAGACACGGGGGTCAGATAGGAGCTTTGGGGGGCTTCTCCCAGCCTGGGAAGATGGCAGTGGGTAGCAGGAGGGGGCATGAGTCCCAGCATGGGGGGTCCTGGTGAGTGCTCACTGGTGGGGAGTGGTTAGGGTGGGTGTATTCTACAGGGAAACTGGGGGTACAGGGTTATATGAGGAGGGGATGTGAGAGTTTGGGGTTCTTTGCTTTCTTTCTTTTTTGTGGAAGCACACCCTGCAGTGCTCAGGGCTAACTCCTGGCTCTGTACGCAGGGATCACTTCTGGCAGGGCTCTGGGGACTCTATGTGGTGCCAGGGCTCAAACCCAGGTGAGCCACATGCAAAGCAAGCGCCCTCCCCACTGTACTCGCGCTCTCTCTCTCTCCAGGCCCCTTGTTACAATTCCATCCATTCACTCATTCCCGGTTGCATCTCAAGTATCTCACAGCAGGAAATTCCTACCCTGGGCTGTGAAGAAGACGGATGGTGTCTCTGAAGATGTGGTGGTTACTGTTGAAGATGGAGAGAAATAAATGCCAGTTTGCGACTGGGACTAAGGGATGGAGGAGGGTATGGAATTTCCGGGGTTTTGTCACCTTGGACATTACGGACCAGGAGTGCCCGTGAATGAGGACTGGGAAGTGGGCTTTTGTCTGCTCTAGTTCTTGGGTTAGGATTATCACATTAATTATATATAATTATTTATCACATTATAGAATTATATCATATATAAAACTGATCTATCAATATACATTAATCCTAACCCAGGAATTATAATTAATATAATCAATATCTTATGTTATTATATAGTAAAGAATATTAGATAATATTACATAATTACTGTAATATTAATATATTATATTATAAATCTATTCGGAGGGTCATGCTCTGAAGTACTCAGGGATGACTCCTGGCTCTGTGCTCAGATCACTTCTGGAGGGGCTCAGGACCCTCTGTGGTGATGGGGATTGAAACCAGGTCAGCTGTGCGCAAGGCAAGTGCCCTGCCCACTGTACTATCTCTCTGGCCTCCCTTGTTACAATCTTCATCCATTCATTCATTACCAGCAGTACCTCACAGCAGAAAATGCTACCTAGGGGTATATTAATATAATTATATTAATACACTTTATATATTATAAGCACTGTATAGTTCGTATAATAGCATATTTATGTATATTCTGTATGACAGAATTATCAAAAGTATTACATAATTATCTAATACACATTAATACACCATATGTTATTTTACATAATTATATAGTATATCTATAAATCAATATGGCTGTAGGTTATGTGGTTACCACAGTGACAGTGTTTATGACTATCTTAGGGGATGGGTTGAAGGATCTTTGTAGAGATCCCCAAACTCCCCCATACTCACTTTCGGGGGTCGTGACTGGGTTTTGCCAGGTGAAACCTGCAGAGGAAAAGGAAGAGCCGCTGTCGAGGGACGCAGGGAGGGAGACTGGCGCCAAGTCCATGGAAACCAAGCACCAGGATGGGCTCAGCATCACGACTCTCACCATCGACGTAGAGGCTGTTCCTGTCCAGCGTGTAGAGCCCCAGCTGGGAGACGCCCTGTGTCTGCTGGTCAAGCTCCCAGTACAGCCGCTCCCTGTCCAGCCTGCTCTCCGTGGGGCCAGGGGAGTAGTAGGAACAGACCATGTCCATGCCCGTGGCAGCGCCATCGTACTCCGGCCTGCGAGGGCAGGTGAAGGATAAGGGTGTGCGCTGGGGAGGGTTTGATGTCCCCAACTCACAAAGGGGCAACCAGGAGAAAAAGGACTCTTTTACTTTCTTTTCTTTTTCTTTTTTTTTCTTTCGGTATCAAGGTTAGAACCCGGATCTCAAGCCTGTGGGGCACGAGATCCAGACCCTGAAAAATGAAACTGAGAAAGGACAAAAGGGCAGAGAAAGATCCTCCTGGTGCCCGGATTTGAGTTTCAGGATCAGCAGGGAAGCGCTTGCCTTGCCTGTGGCTGCCCCCTGGGTTCAATTCCCAACTCCCCACAGGGTCCCTCAGACACACCAGGAGTTAGCCTTGAGCACTGCCAGGTGTGGCCCCCCGCCCCCCCCCCCCCATATAAAAACAAAAAGAAAGCAAAGTGGAGAAAGGACTTGGCAGAAGTCAAGGGCTCTGACCCAACGCTTAAGAGGCCTGACCCAACGTTTAAGGCTCCCCTTTTGGGTCTAAGCGAAGGAAGAAGCGAATGCAGAAAGTGAAGCAGCGGAAGAAGGTTCCATGCTCGGAACACCCTGGGATCCAGACATGGTTGGGAGGGAGAGGAATACAAGGCGACGAAGCTTTACACACGGAACTGGCACCACACAATTGCCCCTCTGCATAGGATACCAGGCGAGGCAGGTGTTGGGCAAGAAGGGAACCCCGCAGAGGACCTGGGCGCTGGGGCGGCAGTTGGGCACAGGTGTTCCACAGTCTCACCTGAGCTGGGCCAGTCTGCAGCCGAAGTAGTGGGGTCCCAAGCTGGAGTTCTGGAACAGGGGCTGGAGCTGTGCGCGAGTGGGAAGTTGGAAGAAGGAACGTGAGGGTTTGCTCCAGAGCCGCGTGGTGGGGTGGGCGGGGCTGGCGTCAGTGGGCGGGGTTTGTATCCATGGGGGCTACAGGTCGAGGGGAGCGATCTGATTTGCAGGCACCTAGAGGTAGGCGGGGCATTGCGGGAGTGGGCGTGGCGGGCGAGGTGGGCGGGGCTCTCACCAGCTGCTGCAGGACCCGGTCGGTGGCGCTGAATATCCTGGAACCAGAGAGATTCATCTCCTCCTCATAGGGCAGGTTGGTGATGGTGAAGTTGAGGGTGAAAGGCACCAGCACAAGGCCAGAGGCTGCAGGGGGTGGGGGTGTTGGGGATGGACAAGAAATGTCCAGTGTTCCCGCCCTAACCATAGAGCTGAGTGGCGGTGGGGGGTTACCCACATGCCTGCCTACAGGTCTGGCTGTGGCGGGGAGGGGACTCTTGCTTTAACACGGAGACGCCATCCTCACGTGCCTGGTGCCCACTTCTGCGCATGGTAGGCCCAAGACCAGAGGTTTGGCAGGAGAAACCAGGAGGGGTGGAGAAAGCACTTACTTGGGGGGACCGGGGCCTCGGTGCTGGGTAGTGAGGCCGGAGCGGGCGCGAGAGTGGGCACGGAAGCTGAAGCTGCGGGGGGGGGGGGGGGGAGAGAGAGAGCAGCAGGAGAGAACTCCATATACTGGGCTGTGTGGCATCATCTCTCCACCAGCTGCCTTTCCCCCCAAGACCTTTTTTTCAGAATTTTCCCGAGGAGCAATGTACTGACCAGTCACACTTCCCTTTGGGAATATTTATCTTGGGCTGGAGAGACAGGACAGCCGAGAAGGCGTGCCATGTGGCTGACCCAGGTTCGATCCCTGGCACTGCATATGGTATCCCCCGAGCCACTGAACCAGGAGTAAACCCTGAGAACCACTGATAAACCTCCACAATAATAAAAGACCTTTTCAGTGAAAACATGTTGTGAAGAAGTGTGTGTGTGTGTGTGTGTGTGTGTGTGTGTGTCTCCTGGTGGTGCTTGGGGGACCATGCAGTGCCAGGTAGAGCACCCAGGATTCCTGCCTATTTTCCTGTCCTTGAGCCTCTCCCCAGCTTGTTCACAAGTCAAATGAATCACACACAATCCAATCATCAGGTACAAATCATGCTGACGCCTGTGCAGTTTCCTCCCTCCCTCCCTCCCTCCCTTCCTCCCTCCCTCCCTCCCTCTCTCCCTCCCTCCCTCCCTCCCTCCCTCCCTTCCTCCCTCCCTTCTTTCCTTCCTTCCTTCCTTCCTTCCTTCCTTCCTCCCTTTCTTCCTTTCTTTGGTCCTTTCCTCCCTCCCCTTTTCCTTCCTTCCACCCCTCTCTTCCCCTCTGTTCCCTCATTCTTTCCCCTCCCTCCCTTCTCTACCCTCCCTCCCTCCCTCCCTTTCATTTTTAGGCCACACCCAGTGGGGTTCTGAGATGATTATCCACCTGTTCCTCCAGTCACCCCACTTCCTATTTCCAGGAGAGGAACCCTCCCTCACCTGTGAAGCTGGGGAGAGGATTTGGCATTTCTGTAGAAACTGGGATGATAGTAACACCTGCAGGAACAAATATCCAAAGCTCAAAGGGATCCTCCCCTTCTTGAAGATGGCTGGGACAGGGGGTAGGGGTGCGTGCCTGGGGTTCTTGGGTGTTCTAGTTCACTGGAGATGGAAGGTGGGGTTGCTGGGACAGCAAAAACCTTTGGAGTTCGTTTTAAAAAATATTGGGGGCTCCCAAGAAGGATTCACGTAGTCTAGGGGTCCCTCCAGTCCACCTGAATATTGGGGGGGGCTTTCAGTCAGCATTGCTGGTGATTCAGTGCCAGGGATGGAGGATCTGGTATAGTTCAGTCTCCCCACAGTGCCCAGGATGGCCCGGGCACCCTGGAAGTTCTCAGGGGCCTCCAGAAACACAGTGGTGGTCCTTAGGGGGCTCCCAGGGCTATGCCTGGTGATTGGGGGGGGGGGAATCCTATTTAGCACCAGGGAATGGTTCCATGCAAGCTAGTGCCTTCACCCCTGCACCATCTCTCCAGCCCTGCCTTTCTAGAAGTTTTGAGAGACCCCCCCCCCCCAAGCATCAGCATACTCACTGTTGGGGGGTGTGGTCCAGGTCGGGTGAGTGAAGCCTTCCGGGAGACAAGTAGGAAGGATGAGAAAAACGGGGTGGGGGTGGGGGAAGGGGATATGGTAAGAAGATGTTGCACTACCCACATTAGAAGACAAAATAAAAACAACATTTTAAATGTTTGTTTGTTTTTGACCGTGGGGCCACACCTGGCAGTGCTCAGGGATTTCTCCTGGCTCTGCAGCAGGGATTGCTTCTGGTGGGGCTGGCAGGATGCTATGCGGTGCCTGGGGTGGAAGCCAGCTTCTGTGCAAAGCAAGAGCCTTCCCCAATGTCCTCTTTTGCCAATCCTCAAATGAACACAGTGATGGGCCATGAGCCTGTATCACATTCTCGTGGGCACCATCCCCCAATACCATGTGTGTGTGTGAACCCACAGACACCACAAAGGGACAGGAGTGTGTGGGGGGGGAACGGAAATGAGAAAGGAGTCAAAATAAGTCTTTGGGGTTGGGTGTGGCGGCTACTCACCATTGACGATGAGACTGTTGGGGTTCAGGCTGTAAGGGCCCAGCAGGCTTGCATCCTGGGTTTGCTGCTTTAGCTCCCAGTAAAGCTGCTCCCTGTCCAGCTCAGGTCCCACGGGATCCTGGTAGTAGGTGCAGACCAGGTCCACGCTTGTGGCTGCCCCATCATTCTCAGGCCTGAGGGAGAGGTAGAGCACACGGTAGAGAATTGTAACATTTGTGCTAATAACAGGACATAATAGGAACATAGATCAGACAAAGAGGTGAGAAGTTAGACCGATATTCATTTTGAAACAAATGTGTGTGTGTGTGTGCGCGCGCGCGTGTGTGTGTGTGTGTGTGTGTTTGGGCCACACCTGACTGTGCTCAGCTTACTCCTGGCTCTATGCTTAAGGGATCACTCCTGGAAGTGCTCAGGGGACCATATGTGGTCGCCCCCTGCAAGGCCAGCGCCTGCCTGCTGTCCATCTCTCTGGCCCTAGATGGATAGTGTCAGTGAGAAACAGCCCCAGCTGGGACTGTGAGTGGAGTTTACAATTCTGCTCCAATTCCCAGCACAGCAGACACGTCTGCTTCCTCCATCCTTGACACAGGAATGGATGGGAAATTTGGGATTCAACAAGGAAACAAACAACCAAAAAAAATCATTTGTCTGAGAAAGAACCAAAAGAAAAGGGTTCCCTGAATCAAGGGTGATAGATTTAGAAGGATGGCTTTTATTTTTTCTTTTTGGGTCACACCCAGCAACGCACAGGGGTTACACCTGGCTCATGCACTCAGGAATTACTCCTGGCAGTGCTCGGGGGACCATATGGGATGCTGGGAATCGAACCCGGGTCGGCCACGTGCAAGGCAAACGCCCTACCTGCTGGATGCCAAGGATGGCATTTTTTTTATGTAGGAGTACTGCTATTTATTCAGCCACCGATGAGCTGATTGAATTGGGCATGAACTCCACCTTACTTTTTTTTCATAATTTTATTTAATTATTTTTCTTATATTAATTTTATAGGGTGGCATTTTTAATTTAAAAAATCCTATCTTATATTTTCTTTTCGGGGCTGCACCTCGCGGCGCTCAGGGGCTATTCCTGGCTGTGCTCAGTGGTGACACGTGGCAGTGCTCAGGGGACCCTGTGCAGGATCAATGATATGCAAGGTAAGCATCTTAGCCCCTGTACTATCTCTCCAGCAACAAGAAGGCAGCATTTCTAGGGGTTTGTGTAGTGTGTGCGTGTTGTGTGTGTGTGTGTGTGTGTGTGTGTGATAAAATCATAAATGACGTCCATCCCTGCTGGTCTCCTTGCTTCCGTGATTCCATGTCTGCTGAGGATGTGGGCAGAGAGAGCAAAGAAGGAAGGGATTTTAGAACTTTAGTCTCACCGGAGCAGGGTCAGCCTGCAGCCATAGTAGTGGGGCCCCACACTGGTATTGTTGAACGCGGCCAGAAGCTGCAAGGCAGGGAGAGGGAGGAGGAAGCAAAAGCATGGTTGGTCCTGGCAGGAGTGAGGAGGGCGGGGCACCCGTTGGCGGGCGGGGTTTGTATCCATGGGAACAAGAGCGAAGTAGGTGGTATCACTCTGACGGAACCGAGCGAAGTAAAGTGGGCGGGGCTTCCATCGATGGGTGGGGCTTGTATCCATGGGAACAGCGGGGAGGTGGGTCAATAGAGGCAAGGTGGGCAGGGCAGACATCAGAGGGCGGAGTTTGTATGGGGGGCGGTCCTAGTTTGCAGGTGCAGGCCAGGTAAGGTGGGCGGGGCTCTCACTAGGGGCTGCAGGACCAGATCCGTGATGTTGAATATTCTGGATTCAGGGTGATTCATCTCCTCCTCGTAGCGCAGGTTGGTGATGGTGAAGTTAATGGTGAATGGCATCAGGATAGGACCAGGAGCTGCAGGAGTGAGTGGAAGAGAAGTATCTAAGCCAGCCCACCCTGACTTCATAGCTGAGTGTGTGGAGGGCACCCCCACATGCATGTCCTGCACCTTCCAGGGGAGGGAACTGAGTACCCCAGGCAGAAAAGCGCCTCTCCTGGCAATCCCTCCCTGACAAGGCACCCCAAATGGTCAGAGGCGACTTGTGTGAATCCACCCTCTTCATCCCAGTTGTCTGTCCCAGGAAACCCATCTGCGGTGAGGCTCTTGTACTGTCTGCTGATTGGGCTCGAAAAAGCAGAGCCTTTTCGAAGTGCATCCCAAGTGTGGAATGTCCTATTGGCCCTGCCCCACCCCCTGCCCCCTCCACTGCCCGCATGCAAAGCGTCTGTGCTGGTGGAGGGAGACAGAGAGAGCAAACGCCTACCCGCAGAGGTGGAGACTGAGTCTGAGGTGGTACACTGGTTCGAGCAGCTAGGAATGGCCACGGTGGCTGGGGAGGAAACGCGGGGAAGTTCCGTTCATGGGAAGGCTCTTTCTGAGTCGAGCTTTTCTCCGCTGAGCAAGCCAGAGAAGCCTTCGGCCATGTTTTTGGTGTTGGGTGTCTTTGTTGGGTATCTGGACCTTTCCCGGCCATGCCAGAGGCTAATCCCAACTGGCGGCCGGGGGTCCCTCCTGGTGGGGTGGTGCTGGGGACCCCAGTCAGGGCTCCTACATGCAAGGAATGTGTGCAGCTGAGCCGTCTCTAGGGTCCCTGAGGTGAGGGGGGACTGAAGCCTTCTTGAGTCTTTGTGGGGAGGGGAGTGGGTGAGAGGAGAGAGAACCTCCAGGGGGAACACAGATGGCTACTCACTGCTGGGGGTGGAGAGGGGGATCCTGTGCGTGTACCCTGTGGATAGAAGCAAGGAGAGTTGTGAGTGTGGGGGATGGGCAGGAATGGGAGAACACGGGGCCTGGGGCAGGTTTCTCTTTTTCGGGGGGTGGTGGCATTAGTGCTCAGGAGTGACCCCTAGTAGCACTTGGGGGACCATCTACAGAGTCAGGGATCAAGCTGGGATCCACCCTGCATTATCTCTCTGGCCTCTATGAATCTGTTGATTTTATACGCATGCGTGTGCCCCCGCCTGTGCACGCACACACACACACACACACATACACACATATATATACACACACATATACACACATTCTTTGTTTTGTTCTGTTCTTATTTTTGGGGGTCCCGCCTAGTGGTGCTCAGGAATCACTCCTGGTGGGGTTCGACACCTTACCCACTGTACTATCACTCTGGCCCATGTAATAATCTTTACAGCCCCTCCTCCCCCTTTCATGCACAGATGCAGCAGCCAAGCTCCAGATAATTCTTTTGGGGTGCTGAGAAGAATATCCCTATTCCTGCAATACCATGGGGACAGGGGTGAGGGTGGAGGGCAGGGGTCCCTTGTGGTGGGGGATGGGTGCTGGAACCTGGAACATGGTGTGCATGAAACTCCAGCAGGAGTAAACTACGGTGCTTCAAAGAAAATGTTTTCCAAAGGCAAAGAGAAAAGAACAAACCCTTCAGCCCAACCCACAATGTCTCTGAGTGACTCCCCCTTTCTTCTCTGCATGTTGGCTCAGCTGACTCCCCAGAAGGGCCTAGAACAAATGCTTCTTTCTCAGGAAAAGAACTGCAGGACAGGCCCAACCTGGGAGGAGCTCGAAGCACCCAAGACACACACACACATGCATGTAAGCACAAACATGCACACATTTGCACAAGGCACGCACATACACACATATGTGCGCACACACATGCATTCTCACACACATACATGCACACACACGAATACGCATGCACACACACATGTGTACTCATGCACACACACACATACACACATATGCACACTCAGGCAGTGCTTTTTAGTGTACTGGGAGCCCAGAAGGCTTGTGGGGAAAGGGGAGAGGGAGGGGGGCTCCACTCACCATTGACATAGAGGCTGTCACTGTCCAGGCTGAAGGGGCCCAGCTGGGTGACACCCTGCGTCTCGCGGTTCAGCTCCCAGTATAGCTGTTCGCGGTCCAGCCTCCGGCTGTGGGGCTCAGCAAGGTAGGTGCAGACGGAACTGACTCCGATGGCCCGGCCGCTCCTCTCTGAACTGGACCCCCAAAATTAGGTAGGGGAAGACGAGATGGGGGTCACTCCAGGGAGGATCCTGGGAGATGTTCTCTAAGGCAGACTGTGGGCATTGAGTGTCACTGTCCCTGGGATGGAGTGTTGTGTGTATGTATGAGGGAGGGAGAGAGAGAGAGAGAGAGAGAGATAGAGAGAGAGAGAGAGAGAGAGAGAGAGAGCAAGCACAGACTATGGTGTGTGTGTTAGAGAGACAGACAGAGACATAGAGAGAAGAGACAGAGAGATCAGACTATGCTGTGTGCATATGAGAGAGAGCAGACTATGGTGTGTGTGTGTGTGTGTGTGTGTGTGTGAGAGAGAGAGAGAGAGAGAGAGAGAGAGAGAGAGAGAGAGAGCGGCTGGGCTGTGTGTGTGAGAGACCAGATCGGGTGCGTGTGAGTGCAGGTGCCCCTCCTCTCCCCCATCTTGCCTCCCCGCTCCGACCGGCTCCCCGCTCCCCGCAGAGCTCACCTGATCCAGGTCACTCTGCAGCCCGAGTAGTGGAACCCCAGGCTGCTGTTGCACAACAAGACCCGGAGCTGGGGGCAGAGAGGGCGAGTGAGGGGGGTGCAGGGCTCAGGAGAACCCGGAAATGGGGAGCTCGGCCGGGGCCCTACCTGGCGCACTAGGATCCGCTCGGTCAGGTTGAAGATCTCGGACCCCGGCGCCCCCATGCCCTCCGTGTAGTTCAGGCTGGTGATGGTGAAGTTGAGGGTGAAGGGCACCAGGGTGGGGGTCCCCGCTGCAGCAGAGACGGGCATGGGTGACCTCGGGGGCAGGCCCTGGCCCTCCCGCCCTCCCCAGGCCCCTCTCAGGGCAAATCCTGGGGCAAGAATGCGAAGGGAGGAGCTGGAGCGATAGCACCGCGGGGAGGGCGTTTGCCTTGCACGGGGCCAACCTGGGTTCGATTCCCAGCATCCCACATGGTCCTCTGAGCACTGCCAGGAGTAATTCCTGAGTGCAGAGCCAGGAGCAATCCCTGTGCATTGCTGGGTGTGACCCAAAAAGAAAAAAAAATATTGCAAAGGGGAAGGAGGCTGCGTGCAGGCAGGGGGCTGAGCGCTAAGGAGAAGCAGGCACTAGCACCCTGAGGAAAACCAAGCATCTGACTTGGCCCAAGTGGGGCTTGTTAAGGAGAGTGAATGGAGCGAGGGAGGGGACCCCAAGACCAGATCACACACGGGCTCTGGAGGGTCGCTCCTACCTGTGGAGCCGAGGATGGTGGATGAGAACGTGGATGATTCTAATGACAGCGTAGAAGTAATTGAAGCTGAAAAATATAAAATAATTATAACAACAACAACAATAATAACAATGGGTCGGAGCAATAGTGCACTGGGCAAGGTGATTTGTTGTTGTGTTCGATCTGGTAACCCATCGGGTCCCCGAGCCCGCCAGGAGTGATCCCTGAATACAGAGCCTGAGCACCTTTGGGTGTGGCCAAAAAAAACCCCAAATAAATTGTTTAATTAATTAAAGCTCGGGAGGAAAAGTAGCAGTGCTGCTTGATGGGAACTGGGAAGTTTGAGCTTGACCCGGAACAAGGCGAGGGGTGTCTGGCGGGCGTGGGGACGGACCTCAGCCCTCTGGGCACTAAGGCTGGTGGGGGGGGCGGAGCTGGGATGCGGATGGGTTTGGGATACTCACTGCTGGCCGTGGGTGTCCAGAGCCAACGGTTGTAACCTGCAGAGACACGGAGACACCGGGAGGGGAGGTTAAGGAGTGGCACAGTGGGACCGGGACACAGGGCAGCGGCCCTGGCACAGGGCTCCCAGTTGGAGCCCCGCCACTGTGCCGTGTCCCAAGCATCTCCAGGGGGCCTGGCCCACCCCTGGCACCACAGCCACATGGCAGCACCCTGTCCTTGGGTCCTGGCACTGAACTGTGAGCCCAGTTGGCTGATGATCACCAGGAGAGGTCTCAAGGCCCCTTGAGGATCTCTTGGGGACCCTCGAAAAAAATAGAAACAAAAATGGAGTGTGATTACGAACTGCCACGGTGTGGAGTAAGATTGATAAGGTGAGATCAGGGCTGGGGTGATGACAGCAGGGAGGGTGCTTGCTGGCCTTGCATGTGGCTGACCCAGTTTCCGTCCCTGGCACCCTATAGGGTCCCTTGAGCACCTGCCCCCCTGAGTGCACAGCCAGGAGTAACACTTGAGCCCTGTTGGGTGTGGCTCAAAAACTGAGAAGGAAGGAAGGAAGGAGGGGAGGAGGGAGGGAGGGAGGGAGGGAGGGGAGAAAAGAAAGGGAAGGAGGGAGGAAGGAAAGGGAGGAAGGAGGGAAGGAAGGAAGGAAGGAAGGAAGGAAGGAAGGAAGGAAGGAAGGAAGGGGAGGGAAGAAGGAAGGAAAGGAAGGAAAAAGGGAGGAAGGAGGGAAGGAAGGAAGGAAGGAAGGAAGGAAGGAAGGAAGAAGGGAGGGGAAGAGAAGGAGGGAGGGAGGGGAGGAAAGAAAGAAAGAAAGAAAGAAAGAAAGAAAGAAAGAAAGAAAGAGGAGGGAAGAAGGAAGGAAAGGAAGGAGGGAAGGAAGGAAGGAGGGAGGGAGGGGAGGGAGGGAAGGAAAGGGAAGGAGGGAGGGAGAGAGGGAGGGAGAAAAGAAGGGAGGGAGGAAGGAAGGAAGAAAAGAAGAAAGGAGGGAAGGAGGGAGGGAAGGAAGGGAGAAAAGAAAGGAGGAAGGAAAGGGAGGAAGGACAAAGGGAGGAAGGAAGAAAAGTGAAGGAAGGAAAGAAAAAAGGAAGAGGGAGCAAGGGAAGGAAAGAAGAGAAAGGAAAAGAAAGGAAAGGAAAGGAAAGGAAAGGAAAGGAAAGGAAAGGGCAAATCTGTTTTGCAAAACTAGTGTCCCCCAGGCACTGGCCCCACTGCAGAGGCCCCTGCGAGCGGTGGTCTCACCGTTGATGTAGAGGCTGCGTCTGTCCAGGGTGTAGCTGCCCAGCTGGCTGGCGCTGTGGGTCAGCTCGCTCACTTCCTGGTACAGCACTTCTCTGTCCAATCTGAACCCCACAGCGGGAGGCCGGTAGGTGCACACGGCGTCCACTCCCGTGGCACTGTCATCTTCCTCGGTCCTGGGGGGGGCGGGACAAGGAAACAGGACCCCTGAGCCGGGGGAGTCATAAACTCAGCACCTGGCAGTGCTCAGGGCTGACTCCCGGCTCTGTGCTCAGGGATCACTCGTGGGAACTTGGGGTCCCTCTGGGGTGTTGGGGATCGGCCACATGCACAGCCAGCGCCCTCCCTGCTGTATCATCTCTCCTGCTCCTGGTGGCCCCAGCGACCGTCCTCGCCTGTCTGTGATCTTGCCTGCGAACCGCCCCCCTGCCCCCCACCCGCTCATCTGTCTTCCGGGAGAGAGGAAAGTGTTACCTGAGCAGAATCAGCCTGCAGTCAGAATACGCAGAGCCCAGGCTGGTTTTCTCAAACAGAGGCTGGAGCTGAGGAGGGTGAGGGGGGGAAGGTGAGCCCATGGGGGTGGGGGACAGGAAGAAGGAGGAGGGGACAAGGTCACGGCCAGGTGGGCCCCGATGGTTTCTTACCAGGTCTTGGAGCGTCTTCTCGAGAGAGAGGAACTTCGCCGATCCTGGCTGGCTCATGTTTGGGGTGTAGCGTAGGTTGGTGATGGTAAAATTGAGGGTGAAGGGCACCAGGGCTGTACTGACATCAACATCTGGAAGTGGGGACAGAGGGGGGTGTGGAGAGGGAGAGGCAGAGAGAGAATTAGAGAGAGAGAGAGAAGGGGGAGAGAGAGAAGGAGACTGAGAGACGGGGGTCAGTTGGAAGGGGTTGGGTACGCTCAGCAGTGCTCAGGGCGGACTCCTTGTTCTGTGCTCAGGAATCACTCCTGGGGGTACTCAGGAGACCATATGCAGCACCACAGATGAGACCAGGGCCAGCTGTGTACCAAGCCAGTACCGTACGCACTGAGTTCTCTCTTCGGTCTTTTTTTATTTGCTTTTTGGGTCATACCTGGCAATGCACAGGAATTACTCCTGGCAGTGCTCAGGAGACCATACGAAATGCTGGGAATCGAACCCGGGTTGGCTGCGTGCCTGGCAAATGCCCTACCCACTGTGCTATCAATCCAGCCCCTCTCTCTCCAGTCTTAGAAGTTTGAATCCAATTCAAAAGGTAACGTTAAGCATCTCACGACAGAGCAAACATAGACAGGTTGTGGCCATTCCATTTGCGTGTGTGTGTTTGTTTTGGGGACCACACCCAGGTGTGCTCAGGACTGACTCCTGGCTCTGCGCTCAGGGATCACTTCTGCTGATCCCTGGCATGTGGATCGAACCTGGGTCTGAGGCACACCAGGCCAGCGCTCTCCCCACTGTGCTATGGCTCCAGCCCCAAGCTGTGGGCGTTCTTGTGGTGAGGAGAGTGGCCAAGAGCTCAGGTGGTCCATATTGGACCACAAATGCTCGAGCAATCAGAAACCCAAAATGTAATCAATTTTTTGGGGGGGGGTATAGAGGGGCATGTGCTCAGGGCTGTCTCCTCTCTCTGTGCTCAGAGTGGGGGGCTCGGGGGGGACCCTGTGCAGTGTCGGGGATTGTCCTGAGATTTGGCGCTGTCGTTCCCACCTGTGGAGCTGGGGAAGGTCGTCAGGAGGGCGGAGGGTCCGGGTGAGGACGTGGAGGTCACCAGAGCTGCAAGGGAACAAGATGCGGTCACCCGGGCTCTGTAATGGCCCCGTGAGAAGGGCCAATCCTGGGAGCTCGCTGGGTCTGAGACGTGGGCAGTGTGGGGGCATCTCTGGAGCCGGGGGTGGGGGGGACACAGGACACAGACTGCAGGACTCAGTACTCACTGCTTGTGGCTGGGCTCCAGTACCAGTGATTATAACCTGCAGTGGGAAAGACAGGAAGAGGAGGGGAGGAAGTTACCAAAGGTGCTGGGGATTGAACCCAGATCAACTCCAGCGCCCTTCCCTCTGTACTGTCACCCCAGCCCTGTGTGATCTTTTTTCCTTTTTTTTTTTTTTTTTTTTTTGCTTTTTGGGTGACACCCAGCGATGCACAGGAGTTACTCCTTGGCTCTGCACACAGGAATTACTCCTGGTGGTGCTCGGGGGACCATATAGGATGCTGGGAATTGAACCCAGGTTGTCCGCGTGCAAGGCAAATGCCCTACCCGCTGTGCTATCACTCCAGCCCTCTTTTTTTTTTAAAGGGGTTCTGAAGAGAGAGAACCAAGACCCCATGTGAACAGATGCAGAGACACTGGAAAAGCCTTGGGGAACCGGGGGTGGGGGGCAGGGGTCACAGAGTCTCTCACCATTGACACAGAGGCTGCTCCTGTCCAGAGTGTAGGGGCCCAGGAGGGTAGCATTCTGTGTTTGCTGGTTCAGCTCCCAGTACAGATGTTCTCTGTCCAGCCTGAACCCCGAGGGGCCTGGCTGGTAGCTACAGACGACATCGACTCCGGTAACTGCTCCCTCCTTCTCAGGCCTAGGGAGCACAGGGAAGGGACTTTGGCAACCACAGACCCCAGAGAGCCTTTTTCTTCCATTGCTTTCCTGGATTTTAGTGATGGTGGAGGAGTCTGGCCAAACCCAGCAGTGTTCAGAAATTACTTCCAGTGCATTCTGGAGGGTCACTCCTGGTGGTGCTGGGGGGATCCCACAGGGCCGGGGTGGAACCTAGACCTCTCACATGTGAAGCTGGCACTCACACCTTCGAGCAAACCCGGACAGCCCCTGGATTCACTGTCACTGTCACTGTCCTCCCGTTGTTCATTGATTTGCTCGAGCGAGCCCAGTAACGTCTCCATTGTGACAATTGTTACTGTGTTTGGCATATCGAATACGTCACGGGTAGCTTGCTAGGCTTTGCCGTGGGGGCAAGATACTCTCGATAGCTTGCAGGGCTCTCAGAGTGGGGCAGAGGAATCAAACTCGGGTCAGCCATGTTGGCTGCTTGCAAGGCAAACACCATACCCACTGTGCTATCACTCCAGCCCCAGATAGTGCTTCTTTTTTATTTTTTTTTCTTTTTGGGTTACACCCAGCAATGCACAGGGGTTACTCCTAGCTTTGTACTCAGGAATTACTCCTGGCAGTGCTCAGGGGACCATATGGGATGCTGGGAATCGAAACCAGGTCGGCCACATGCAAGGAAAACTCCCTACCCACTGTGCTATCGATCCAGCCCCAGATAGTGCTTCTTTAAGAATGTAAAGGGTGGGGTCGGGCCAGCATGATTGGACAGTGAGACAGGTACTTGCCTTGCGCACAGTCTACCTGGGTTCGATTCGCCGGTACCACCCACCACCTGTGGTTCCTTGAGCCCTGCTGGGAACAATTCCTGAGCACCGCCAGGTGTACACCCCCCAATCCCCCGAAACCCCAAATAAAAATAAAAGGTGGGTTGGAGGGAGAGTACAGCCTCCAAACAATCACCATAGAAAACTGCAATCTATGGCTCCAGAGCACAGCGTTTTGTTTGCATTCTGTTTCCCTTCCGCCCCATATAGATGTCCTCGGGTCAAGTCCCGGACTTTGTCTAGCGGAGGTCCAGTGTCCCACCCTGGTCCCCCAGCTGGGGAGAGGAGGCAGTTTAGGAACTCGGGGGACATCCCTGGCACAGGTGCTGCACTGGCCGGTGCAAAACCCTTTGTACTCGTCTTGGTTAGGGTCTCCTGAGAGGCTGGGATTCAAACCCGGGTCTCCTATCTGCTGAGTTCCCTCAAACTGGGTCCCCTGCTGCCCTGATCCCTCAAACTGAGAAGTCCCCAGGGACTGGGCCCCCTGGAGTCTAGAGCCACAAGAGTCTAGAGTCCTCTTCCTCTCCTTTAACAGATAAATCGCCACCAGAGAGCAGAGAGGTTGTGCGCTTTCCCCCGGACACACAGCCAGCACCGGTTTCCACATCAGGTCCTTGGATCTGCTCTGTCCCAAGGAGCTCCGGCCCACAGGCTAATACAGGATATGAGAAGAGTCAGGGGTGATGCTTGGTGGGGGGCAGGGGACCCGTCTCACCTGAGCCAGGTGAGTTGGCAGCCTTCGTAGAGAGGCCCGATGCTGCTGTTCTTCAACAGGGACCCCAGCTGGGGAACAAGGAGAGGTCGGTGAGCTGGGGGTCCTGGAAGCCAGACTGGGGTGGGGGCGGCAGGGCTGGGGGTGTGGGGGCTCACCAGGCCCTGCAGGGACCTCTCAGTGGCCTTGAAGATCAACGAGCCAGAGTTCCCCATGTCGTCCTTGTAGCGCAGGTTGGTGATGGTGAAGTTGATGGTGAAAAGCATCAAGGAGGAAACCGCAGCTGCAAAGAGGAGCCAGTGTGGAGTCAGTTCTGGGGACTCCCCGCCGCCCTGGTCTCAGGCCCTGCAGCACTATGTTGGGGCCCGGTCAGGTGGTCCTTGTCTACTGCTGTCCCAAAGCCTCCTACCGCCTAGGTTGACCCTCAGCCCTTGCCAGGGTCCCTGAGATGTGTCTGATTTGGTGTTTTGGTTTGTTTGTGTTTGGGGCCCACCTGGCAGTGCTTGGGGTTGACTCCTGGCTCTGTGCTCAGGGATCACTCCTGGCAGGGCTTGGGGGACTCTATGGGGTGCTAAGGGTCAAACCCAGATTAGCTGTGTGCAAGGCAAGAGCCTTCCCTGCTGTACTATCACTCCAGTCTAACACATTTTTCGGGTGGTGTTGTCTTTCGGGGCCACCATTGGAGGTGCTTTGGGATTTCTCCTGGCTCTGTGCTTAAAATTTACTCCTGGGGGACACTATGGGATGCTGGGGATCAAACTGGGGTCAGTCACACACAAGGCAAACAGTTTACTGGCTGTGCTATTGCTCCAGCCTCCACGTTTCTGCCCTTAGACCCTCTTTATGAGATGTATCCCAGCAAATAAACAGACTCTACAGCCCAACGAATCCTTCTCTAGGCTTATACACCTTCAAGAATGAGAGAAGCCGACGCTCCCAACAGACACTTGTATGCCGCAGCATCATTCAAAAGAGTATTTGAAAGGTACATTTGGTCAGCCCCAGGACTCCCCAGATAAATGGAGAGAAATAGGTAAAGGCCTAGAATGGGAATAAAAAAAATCCCCCCTGTAGCTGGGGATTGAACGCAGGGCTTCAGACAGGCAAGGCCAGCATTCTGCTGCTGAGCTACATCCCTGAGCTCCCCAGACAATGGAATTATGACCCACCCATCCGTACAGAAGGAAGTTCCAACATCTGCAACATGGGCGAATCGTAAAGACATTACGGTAAACGGAATAAGGCACGTGTGTGCTCAAACAGGTTAGGCAGTGCGAATCCACTCCCATGTCTGTAATGGGCAGATTCACAGATGCGTGAGGCAGATCAGGTGACCAGGGAGTAAGGAAGGTGTGTGTGTCGGGGGGAGTGAGAGTGTAGGGGTCTCACAGATCTCAAATTTGGGGGGACAGGAGAGAGAGGCCAGGGTGAAGACACTTGCCTTGCATGTGGCCAATCCCAGTTCAATCCCTGGCTCTCTCCAGGGTTCCCAAGCACCTCCAGGGGTCAGCAACAGCCCCTGAGCACTGACAGGTATGGCTTAGCTCCTCCCCCCCCCCAAACTTTTTTAGGAGACAGAGGCAATTAATTCATGGCACTCTGAACATCATTAATGCCCTCTGCACCAATTCCTTGAAAATGCTAAAAATAGCAATCTGGTGCCTCTGCTTCCTCCCCCCCCCCATACACACACACACACACACACACACACACACACACACACTCTGACCACAGCAAAGGACTGAGAAAAAGCAAAGCCTCACTTGTTTCTGGGGCCACGCTCCCAGACGCCAGGGTAGAGCTCTCAGGAGTGTCCGGGGCGCTGCCGGTGGCGAGGAAGCTCGATTCTGTGGCAGCTACATTCGTGGTCTCGGGTGTGGTGGCTCCCAGTCCCGGGGTCAGGCTCAATCCTTCCCCCTGACTCTTTTCTGGGATGGTTGGACTCTGTGATGGCCCCCAGGTCATAATATCCCTTGTGACAGTCTCGGACACTGCCGGGGGTCCGACTGAAGTCACAGGGGCTGGGGGGCGGGAGCTCCAGGAGGTGTCCATGGGAGGTGGCTCCCGGCTTGTGGCTGGGGGGACACTGGCAGGGCTCAGGACATCCAGGGAGGTGGACAGAGAGGGGGGACTAGCACTGCTGGGTGAGAGAGAGGAAGTTGTGGGGGCTGTGGACGGGGCCATGGTGGGGCTGGTGGGGGTTGAGGACATTTCTGGAAAGAGGCCAGTTGATGCCACTGACCCTCCGTGGCCTCTGCTGGTCCCGGGGGTGTCAGGGACGGTGGGAGAAGTTGATGCTGTTTCCGGAAGGCCATGGGTCTCGGTCTGGGCCACAGGAGCTGAGCTGGTGTCCAGCTCGGGCCAGAGGGGCAGCGAGCTGGCCGTGGTCTCTGGGACAGGAGGAAAAACCGTGGAAGTTGGGACACGGGTGTTTGTCTCAGTAATCCCCGTGGTCTCTGGTTTCCTGGGAGCCAGAGTCGATGTTGGAAAAGAAGCTCCGACGTTTGTCTGCAAACCAGGGGCCTGGGAGGCCACTGTTGCTGCAAAAGATGCAGTCTGCATCGGGGCAGGTGACCCGGCTTCAGGGCGGGAGGGAAGTGGAGAGGATCCTATGGCCTGCGTGGTCCACATGCTTCCGATTTCAGGCTCTGCAGTGGAGACCATTGGGGTTGGGGCGGCTGAACCCTGTCTGGTCCCTGAATGGGTCACCCAGGAGACAGTCTCATCCGCTGGAGTCCAGAAGGGGACGCTGACCTCTGCCCTGGGAGTGGATAAGACCATTGGCTCACTGGTCGGAGCGGGGACGGTCGATGTCATCTGGGCCTCAGGAGGTGCAGATGAAGCTGGCTGGCTGAGAACTGGGGTCTGCGTTGGACTAGCAGCCCCCGTCTTGGTCCCGGGACTAGCCTCGGGCGAGGTCACGCTCTGTAGTTCACCTGGGGTGGCCGTTGGTGCCAGGGCCGGGGAGCTGATCTCTGTCCCAGGACTGGTGGGGAAGGAACGGGGGGTGTCCACTTTGCCTGGGAGGGTGCTGTGGGTGAGGGCCGGGGGGCTTCCCTCGGCAGCTTGGGTGGGCCCTGAGATTGTGCCATGCGGCTCCGCTGGGGTCAGCCTCTGCGTCGGGGCAGCCCAGGTGGTTTCTGACTCAGAATGAGCCTCCCCGGAGACCGGGGTTTCCCTGGGACCTGTGGAGAGCATCAGAGGTGGGGCAGTGGTGGCAATCTCAGCCACGGAGCTGGAAATTGTGGCCTCTGAACTCTCGGTTCCTGGGACATGGGCCAGCCAAGTGGAAGCTGGGGCAGCCAGGCTGGTGGCTGAATCCGCGGGTGACTGATTCTGGGAGAGCATGGGGGTTGTCCCCGGTGCTGTCACCTCTGTCCCTACAGTTTCTGTGGTCCATGAGACTGTGCTCTCTGGCTCCAGAGTGGAGTCTGTCTGAGCTGAAGCCATAGAGCTGGGATGGGGAGCCCCGGAAATTGTGGGGTGCAGTTCAGAGGTGGAACCATCCATTGCTGGGAAGGCTATGCTGGTCGGTGCCTCAGAAATGGGCACTAGTGATGTGGACACCCATGGTGTGCTGGGCCACGGATTTGTGGCCGGAGCAGAGGAACCAGCTTCCATATTGGGAGTGGGGGGCGTAGAGGGGGCACCGTGGGAGATATCCACAGACCCTGTACTCATCTCTGCACTGGGGGCAATGGTGGGGAGGACAGTCCCAGCCTGGGTCGCCCCAGAATGTGTGTCTGCAGCATCAGTGATGAGGGGGGAGTTTGTCAGTGGCAGAGTTGGGTGAGTTGGGCTGACCTTCACCCCAGAACTGGTAACCAGTGGCATTTCCCCGCCGGCCCTGCTGGGAGAAGCCATGGATGTGGTCGGCGCCGAACTGGCAGGTGCTCTGGAGTGGGTGAGCCACGAGGCCGTGGTGGCTGGTGTGGCAGGAGAGAGAGTCTGCATGGGGCTGGGGGTGACCGTGTGGGTGTCCACCTCAGGGTGAGTGGCTAGTGAGGTCCAGGCTTCAGGTGCGTGGGAGGAGACGTGGATGGTCGAAACAGTGGATGAGTCAGTTTCTGTCTCAAGGCTGGAGGCCATAGAAAGTGTCACGCCCAACTCATCATGGGGCCCTGTAGTGGTCGTCCCGGGATGTGGGGAGCTGAACTCTGCAGGAGGCGTGGCCAAGGAGATGTTTGCAGCTGGTTCCCGCCAAGTTGGAGAAGATGACTCAGCTCCGGTCCCAGAACTCGTAACCACTGGGAGTGTGACATGTGGGGATGTGTCTGACGTGCTGAGGGCAGTCATTGTATGAGAGGAGGAGGTCCACGGGACCCTGGACTCCGGCCTCTCAGGGGAGATAGTCCAAGACGGGGCCACAGAATTGGCTGCCCCCACAGGGCGGGTGACTGGCGAGGCTTCCAGTTCTGGCTTGTGGGATGCATCGGTCCCCAGGAGGGCCATGGTACTCAGATCTCCCGCCCCAGACGTGATGGCAGTGGTGACCCACGCAGTTTCCAGGGTCGTTGTATGAGCAGTTGGGCCCCCGTCTGCTCTAGAACTGCTCTCCGATGCAGTCACGAGCTCTGGAACCCCACGGGAGGGAGGTGGCGTTGGTGGCGACGAGCTTCCAGGAGTCCCAGGATGGGTGATGCTGCCCACACTCATCTCCTCGATGTGAGTCTCGGTCCCAGCACTCGGGACCAGGGAGGATGCAGTCTCTGATCGTCCATGGGAAAGAGCTGGAGTGGTCCCCAGGGCATCTGTGCTTGACTCCGTCCCAGACCTGGTATACATGGAATCCAGCGTCTCTGTTGCCTGAGAAGGAACATTCGGTTTTGTGGTGCTGATTCCTGGAGATCTCGTGTGGTTTGTCGCATCAGATGTGGCCCAGGGACTCAGTGTCCCCAGAGGGAAAGGAGAGGCCGTGGGAAGCAGTGAGGTGATGGAGGTGGTTTTCAGGGCTAGGCCGGTGCTCTCGCTCTTCTCTGTGCCCCCTGTCGGCCGTCCTGTTAATAATTAGACAGAGGACATGCAAATAGTTCTTGTGTATGGACTGGCAAGGAGTTATAACCCCAGGAAGAAAGATCTCTTTTGTGCCTGGGTTGTTTTATGTCAGACAAAGAAATGATGAATGGCATTTTCCATTCCTTACAAGGTTACTTTCTCGCCTACCACTATTACTGTGCTTACTACCATTACTATTACTTTGATTCCTACTATTACTGTGATTACTACTATTACTACTACTGTGATCACTACTATTGCTGCAATTACAACTATCACTATTACTGAGATCACTATTATTGTTACTATTTCTATGATTACTACTATCACTGGAACCACTACTATTATTGTGATTGTTACTATTACTACTATTGCTGTGATCACCACTATTACTGTGATTATGAGCATATCCACTGTTACTGAAATTACTATTAATACTGTTACTGCAATTACTACTGTTACTACCTCAGTCACCTCCTCCCATTTGGTTACTATTCTTACTCTCGCTACTATTTCTACTATGTAAAGATTATTACTACTTCCTGGCAAACCTTCCAAATCCAATTCAATTGTGATTTCCTAACAAAGGGCTAATCTTCAACATAGATATGGCATTCACAAAGCTGGATAACAAAAACAAAAACAAGAGGAAAGAAAAATCTAAGCAAAGCACCCCCAGAGAGGAGATGAACAGAATAGGCATTAAATCCTAAGAGGAAACATAGGTAGCCACCAGACTTATAAAAGACTGTTCATTATCACTAGTTATTGGGGAAACGCAGAGGAAAAATGACAATGAGATAGGGATCGGAGAGGTGGTCCAGTGGGTAGGGTATTTGCCTTGCCCGCAGCTGACTCAGGTTCAAACCTGGGCATCCCTTAACAGTCCCCCAAGCCCACTAGGAGTGATCCCCTGAGTGCAGAGCCAGGAATAATCCCTAGGCACTGCGGGTGTGACCCCCAAAGCACACCACTCCTCCAAATGACAATGAGATATCATCTCACACCGGTGAGAATGGTCTTAATCAAAAAGGATGAAACCACCGGCATTAGTGGCAATATTGGGGGAAGGAGGTCCCTCTTTCATCCTGGTGATCAGTCATCATGAACATTTTTTTTCATAAGCTTGGTGGGATACAGCCTGGTTATGTATTTATGGAAAATGGAGTGGAGATATCCAGGAAATCGGAAATAAAACTTCCATCTGACCCCACGATTCCCCTCCTGGGCATTGACCCCAAGAACACTAGAGCCTTAATCCAATAAAGGACACATGGTACCCTACGTTCATCAAGGCCTTATCCCCAATAGCCACGGTCTGCCAGAAACACCCAACTGTTTATCAGCCGATGAGTGGATTCACAAAACTGTTGGTCTTGCTACACACCAGCCTACAATTCAGCAATAAGAAAAGACTTGTGTTGTTTGCTACAATCTGGATGGAACTGGAGGGCGTCCTGCTAAGTGACATGACCCAGAAGGAAATGGAAGCCAATCCCCAAATGATCTCATTCGTTTGTGGGTGGAACAGTCCCCAATAGAAGTAAACCCTGAGGAAGACCCAACTGAATAGTCTTCTATGGTGACAAGGGGGAAGGAGGTGGTGGAAGGGACGATAGGTGTTGGGTTTGTGACACGGATGGTGACAAGAGCATAGAGCAGTGCAAGTATAAAGCAGCAATGTGGAAGCTACTGTAAACCCCAAAGAGCCAATAAAAATGAAACAATTTCTTCTCTACATTTTTACAGTTCAAACCAAATATAGATTCATTGTCTATGTTTTAAATGTGGAGTGCTTTTTTTGCATCATAATTATTTCATTCCTTATTACTTTCTCCCTATGACTGTCTCCCCCCAATTTGGTACTCCAAGAGTACCACAGCCAAGTATATTCACTCCAAGTTTTCTTTTTCTTTTTTTTCTTTTTGGGTCACACCCAGCAATGCTCAGAGGTTACTCCTGGCTCATACTCTCAGGAATCACTCCTCATGGTGCTTGGGGGACCATATGGGGTGCTGGGAATCAAACCCGGGTCAGCTGTATGCAAGGCAAATGCCCTTCCTGCTAGACTATCGCTCTGGTGTATTCTATATGCCAAAAACAGTAACAATAACAGGTCTCATTCCCCAGACCCTGAAAGAGTCTCCAATATGGCAGCATTGGGAAAGGTGAGTAAGGAGAGACCTTACTCTAAAATCTCAGGGCTGGGACGAATGGAGACATTACTGGTGCCCGCTCAAGTAAATCGATGAACAATTGGATGACAGTAATGATGACAGTGATGACTCCCAGTTTTCAGTGGCACCTCTAACAGTGAGCAAGTTCTTACTAAGCATCGCTAGACTATTCTGGCTGGCTGGGTTGGATCTATGAATTGGGCGTGTCCAACTTTGAATTTAAACTCAGAGGCTTATCAAGTATGGATGTCCACTGGGTAAGAACCAGCAAACTCAGAGAAGTCCAGGACAGGCCCACCTCATGCTTCCTTGTCAGGAAACAGAATTGTTCTTCTCTCCAGAAAGGAGATAAGACAGTGAGCTGCTGGGAACATACCGCTGAGAGTGGCCGATGGTGTGGATGCCACGAGACGTGGGACTGACCCAGACGTGCCTCCCGGTCCTGTTGCATGGGGTGCCCATGTGATGCGTTCCACAGTGCCATCGGTCCCTGTGGGGCAGACAATGAAAGTCATTTACCGCTGCCAGACGGAAAACACTGTTGACATAGATCCAGTCATGGAACAACTCAACCCTCTCAAGCCTGCCTCTATGCAGCGTGACATATGCTAAATGACCACTTTCCACAGATCCATGCATCCACTCACAGTCTTCTGGTTTCCTTCCATCCATCCCTACGTCTCCCAAACTACCCACTCTACCTTCTACCATTTTTATTTATTTATTTATTTATTTATTTTTGCTTTTGGATCGCACCTGACTATACTCAGGGCTTACTCCTGGCTCCGAACTCAGGAATTACTCCTGGGATGCCGGGAATCAAATTCAGGTTGGCTGCATGAAAGGCAAATACCCTCCCTGCTGTACTATCGCTCTGGCCCCTCTACCATTTCTTGTTCTTTAAACAAATCTTTGCAATATTGCCATTTTCCTTTCCCATTTCCTCCCCAAATGTTTGGTGTGTTTTTTTTTGGGCCAGGGATCACACCCGGCTATGCTCAGGCCTTACTCCTGGCTCTGTGCTTAGGGTCACTCCCAGCAGGTTCGAGGGTGTTGCGGATTGAACCCAGCCAGCTGTGTGCAAGGCGAATGCCCTTCCTGTTTAACTATCCCTTCAGTGCCTCAAACATTTTCTTCAGTCCTTTCTTTGAGTCTCCTTACCATCCACTCACACCCACCCGGCCCCCCTGTGTCTATACATGCCTCCTTTCTTCTTTCTTGCATACCTTCATCCCTTTTATTCTTGCATCCTTCCAACCACACTTATCCTTCCTTGGAATCCCATGCCTCACTCACTTATCAAACCTCAAGTGACGCCAAGCCACTTGATTCGAGTGTGTAGTCATCCATGCATCTAATTTTGGTGTGTACCCACCAAACCAAACCGATGGGGGGTGCTGGTTCCATCAGTGGCTAAAAGCTCCCCACTAGGCAAGCGAGATCCAGGCAAGTGAGATCCTGAACTTGCTCCCTGGTGCCACGTACAAGCATTGGTGGCTCTGAGCATGTGATGTCTGCAGAGCCAGCCGTGTGTCCAAGCTCCACCAGTGAAAGTGCGCGGCCCCCAGCAAGCAACGCAACAGCATTAGGCATGAGCACCACAGTGACCCTCTGGGAACACCATCATGCAGAGTGCAACACCAGCCCACCCCCAGCAGGTGTGTAAGCACTGCAATTGTGACCCCGGTGAGCATCACGACCAAGTGCGTGTGACCCCCCCCCCCCCCCGCCCTAGTCAGCACCACAGCAACAAAAGAGAGTGGGGAGGGGGAAACATTTGACAGGAAGTTAAGTTACCTCCCTGTAGGCATTGTTCATAGACATGGGGGGGATCAGGGGACAGAAAGAGAAGAGCTTCTTATGAGCCCCCAATAGCAGAAGCGTTTAGCTCCTTACTTGTTAGTGGAGTGGAATATGGAGGAACTTGAGTAGTGCTGGTCTCGGTTCCCAAATCAACACTCTCTGTCTTTCTGGTCACTGGGTCGGATGATCCAGTGGTCTGGACTGTGGGGATCCACGTCTCCAAAGTACTGGCCATGTCCAAGGGTCCTTCTTTGGAGCTGGTCTCTGCCCCCACGCTGGTGCCTCCAGTAAGTGGGGTAGTTGGAAAGTAACTAATGCTTGGGAGGGCTGAATTGCTAGAAGAGTCCACGGAAGTGAAGGTGGGCGAGGATGATGAAGTAGATGAAGGCCAGATAGCAGAAATGGTAGACTCCGGAGCACCCCCCGGACCTGACTGCGTGGATGAAAGTGGATTAGCTGAGGAGGCTGCTGAGCTGATGCTCCGCATTGGGGTGATACTGAGGGAAGCTGTGGCTTCTGTGGCCTCCATGGCCTCCGTGGCCTCCGTGGTCTCCGTGGCCTCCGTGGCTAGTGTTTCCATGGAAGCACTCATGGAAGGCAACATCGTTCCCTTGGGTCCAGCAGTACTTTCTGATTCAGTGCTGGAGTCGGAGGTGGGCAAAGCAGAGCCAGTAGCCAAGACTGAGGTGACATAAGTGATGGCTTCTGTGTCTGGTGGGGATGAAGGCAGGTCGGTTCCAGGGATAGTCTCAGAAGAGGGGACCTCAGACTCAGGACTCTTTAAATGATGGGGGGATGCAGTTGATGATGGTGGGTACGTGGGTGAGGCAGGCTGGGAGCTCATGGTTATGTGTGGGGAGGTCGACTGAGTGGTCTGATGGGGAAGGGGCTTTGTCTCTGCTGGGGTCGAACCAAAGGAGGCTGGGCTGGTGGTAGAAGTGATACCCGTGTCCAAAATGGAGGGAGCATGCGTGGAACTGGAGGTGACAGAGGAATACAACGATGTCGGGACAGAAGTATGAGTCTGGAGTGAAGCGTGGCCAGAGTTAGGGGTCTCCGTCAAAGTCACAAATGTCTCTGGATTCACGGAGGATGGAGAAGAGGGAAGGACGAGGGGAGAGCTCACGGAAACTGGAGGTGAGAGAGTGTCAGGAGCTAAGCCCAATGTTCCCGAGGTGGCAGGGCCAGTGGACTCCGTGGGGGCAGGAGTGGTCACGTAGGCAGGTTCCACAGAGAGAGTGGAGGGCAAGAGTATGGCGCTGGATCCCATGGGCTCAGTTGGGACAGGGGTGGATGGCTGCTTAGAGAAGGTGACTTCTGTCCTGAATGTCTCCATGGGAGTGACAGTGGAATGTCCAGTGGAAACAGTGATGATGTCCGTGTTTGAGCTGGGCAGTTGCCGTGGACTCGTTCCATCAGAACTACTCAGGGATTCTGGTTTTGTAGGTTCAGATAGGCCGGGCACGGATGTGGGATGAACATGGGGAGAAGGAGTTACAACCCAAGATGATGTGGTGCTGGAGGACCCCAGGCCAGTTGGGAGCAAGGAATGTGACTGAGACCCAGGACTGGTAGCCCCCACATGGGCCGCGGCTGTGGTTCGGGACACAATTATGGTGGCTTCGGAAGATTTGAGCGTCTCTATAGTGGGGATTCTCCAAGTTGGAAGAGAACTGGTTCTGGGTCCCACGCTTGCGTGTGAGGCGTCTGTGCTCTGTGCTGGGACATGGGGGTTGAGCGACATCAAGCCTGCAGCAGAGGAAGGACGAGTCCCCGGGAACGTGGAAGACCATGAATGTGCTGGAGAGGATGAAGTATGAGTCACCACAGTGGAAATGTCCGCCCTTGACGTCACCTCCGGTGGGACACTGGTTGGCTCCGAGATCAGAAAACCCTGAGTCACAGCCGAGTATGTCTCCAGCCAGGAGGCTGAGGATGAGGTGTCAGAACTGAGTGTCCCCGGGGATGCGGAGCCAGTGGAGACTGTGCTGGGAGTGATGGTCATTTCTGGAGGTTTTGCCATATTGGAGGAAGGAGAGAGCCTGGTGCTGAATTCGGTGGGCATATCTGGGGACATCGTGGACTGAGCCAGGTCACGGATGGGTGTTCCGAATGTTCCAGTGGGCACATCAGGGGAGACAGAGATGGTGTGAGTGTTGATGGTGGTCTCCTGGGAATTTCTGGTCAGCCCGGTGCTACTCCAGGTGGCCTTTGACGTGGCCTCAACCATTGTCATGTTAGAAGAGTCGGGAATGGGGGTGGAAAGAGTGATGTGGCTTTTGGTGGAAGGGGGGACCCCTGGAGACTTAGTTCTTGGGAGAACTCGATCAGATGGGACTGAAGAATCTGATGGAGGGCTGGAAGTATCCATCTGCGTGACATCTGAGGGATGGGAAGCGTGAGTCAGCCCACGCTCTGTTGTGGCTTTGGAAGCATCTGGTATCTCTACTGTGGCGGTTCTCAACACTGGATGAGAACTGGTTTGGGGGCCCACACTTGTGTGTAAGGAGGAAGAGCTACTACCAGGTAGAGGGGAGGAGACTGGGGAAGGCGAGGTCAGGGCAGGCACCAGCAAGCGGACGGTGCTGGTTTCCGTCCAGGGGAAGGGAGGCTCCGTCCATGACACTCCTTTGGAGACTGAGCTCAGGACAGAGGTCATGTCTGAAGGTGGGAAACCCTGAGTGACAGCTGAGGCTGTGGATATCCAGGGAGCAGCGGGAGACAAGTTAATGCCTCCATGGGTCATGTCGGTCACTTCTGTAGGTTCAACGCGGACAGTGGAGCTAGGGAATCCAGTGCTCGATACTGTGGCAATGTCTGGTGACAGCGTGGACTGAGCCAAGGCAGGAAAGGAGATGGTGCTGGAGAAAGTGACATCTGTTCCAAGAGCCTCAGATGGAGTCCCTGTGGGAAGCCCAGAAAGGACAGGAACTGTCTCTGTCTTTTCCCTGGTCTGCTGCAAGGTGACAGTCTCCTCAGTGCTCCTCAGGGAGGAAGTTGATGCAGCATCAAGTCCTGTAGATTTGGGAGAGCTGGGCTCAGGTGTGGGGACAGGACTGTGACTTTGGGCAGAAGGAATTAGTACAGGAGAGGTGGCTTTGGAGTAACCTGCATCAGGTGAGGAAGGAGATTCAGATCCAGAACTGGTGGTGCCCACACTGGTGCCATCTGTGACTTTGGAAGAAGGAGTCACCTCCCTCCCTGTGGTGACTTCAGAAAATTCAAGTGACTCCGTGGTACTTCTCCAACTTGGAGGTGAAGTGGTTCTGGCCCCTAGACTCGTGTCTGCCACATTAGTGTTCTCAACCCCCATAGGGGTGTTGAGTGACACTGAATTTGCAGCAGAGGAAGGGTGAGTCCCAAGGACTGTGGAGGATTGTGGGGCAGGTGAGTTAACAGTAGATGAGGAGGGCATGAATGTACCCACCACAGATGAAGGTTCCGTTTGTGATACCCCCTCAGATACTGTGCTGAGGAGAGAGGACATCTCTGAAGGTGTGACACCCTGAGTCCCAGCTGAGTATGAATCTGTGGAGGGAACTGTGGTTGCTGTGTCTGATCTAAATATCCCTTGTAGTGTAGAGTGAGGGGACCCTGTATTGGTGGTGACCGTTGTAGGTTGAACAATGTTGGTGGAGATAGAAAATCTGGTGCTGGATCCTGTGGAAAAATCTGGCAAGGACCAAACCGGGCCAGTGATAGAGGTCATGCTGGGGGTGGTGACATCTGTCCCAAGTGTCTCAGATGGAGTCCCAGTGGGGACTGAAAGGACAGGGGCTGTCCCTGTGCTCAAAGTGGTCTGCTGGGAAGTGATGGTCTCTTGGGTGCTAAGAGAAGGAGTAGACTCAGCCGCAAGTCCTCTTGATTCAGATAAGGTGGGCCCAGGTGTGGGGACAGCGTTGTGACTTTGGGTGGAAGGAGTTCCCACAGAAGAGGTGGCTTTGGAGTAACCAGGGTCAGGCAAGGAAGGATATTCGTGACCAGAACTGGTGGTGTCCGCACTGGCTGTCTCTATAATTTTGGAAGCAGAAGTCACCTCACCCCTTGTGGTGGCTTCAGAAGATTCCAGTGTCTCTGTGGTACTTCTCCAACTTGAATGTGAAGTGGTACCAATCCCCAAACTTGTGTCTGCCACACTAGTCATCTCAAACTGCACAGAGATATAGGGTGAAACTGAACTTGCAGCAGAGGAAGGGTGAGTCCCAGAGACTGGGGAGGACTGTGGGGCAGGTGAGGTCCCATCAGCTGAGGGCACAGAGAAGGCGGCAGTTCTGGTGTCTGCCACAGAGGAAGGCTCAGTCCATGATACCCCCTCAGATTTTGTTCTGAGGAGAGTGGACATCTCTGAAGGTGTAACACCCTGAGTCCCAGCTGAGTCCGAATCTGTGGAGGAGACTGTGGTGGGTGTATCTGAGCTCAGAGTCCTCTGTGGTATAGCGTGAGGGAACCCTGTGTGGGTGGTGACCGTTGTTTCTGTAGGTTCAACCATGCCGGTGGAGCTAGAGAACCTGGTGCTGGATCCTGTGGCAAAGTCTGGTGAGGACTGACTTGGTCCAGTGATAGAAGTCATGCTGGGGGTGGTGACATCTGTCCCAAGTGTCTGAGATGGAGTCCCAGTGGGGACTGAAAGGACAGAGGTTGTCCCTGTGCTCAAAGTGGTCTGCTGGGAAGTGACGGTCTCTTGGGTGTTAAGAGAAGGAGTAGACTCAGCCTCAAGTTTTTTAGATTCAGATGAGGCAGGTCCAGATGTCGGGATAGCACTGTGACTTTGGGTGGAAGGAGTTACCATAGAAGAGGTATAACCTGCAGCAGGTGAGGAAGGAGATTCAGACAAAGAACTGGTGGTGTCCACGCTGGCTCCCTCTGTAATTTTGGAAGCAGGAGTCACCTCACTTCCTGTGGTGGCTTCAGAAGATTCTAGTGTCTCCGTGGTAATTCTCCAACTTGGATGTGAAGTGGTACCAATCCCCAAACTTGTGTCTGCCACGCTAGTCATCTCAAACTGCACAGAGCTGTAGGGTGACACTGAACTTGCAGCAGAGGAAGGGTGAGTCCCAGAGACTGTGGAGGACTGTGGGGCAGGTGAGGTCCCGTCAGCTGAGGGCACAGAGAAGGCGGCAGTTCTGGTGTCTGCCACAGAGGAAAGCTCCGTCCATGATACCCCCTCAGATACCATGCTGGAGAGAAGGGACATCTCTGAAGGTGTGATACCCTGCATCCACTCTGAGTCTGTCTCTGTGGAGGGCACTGTGGTGGGTGTATCTGAACTAAGAGTCCTCTGTGGTATAGAGTGAGGGAACTTTGTGTGGGTGGTGACCGTTGTTTCTGTAGGTTCAACCATGCCGGTGGAGCTAGAGAACCTGGTGCTGGATCCTGTGGCAAAGTCTGGTGAGGACTGACTTGGTCCAGTGATAGAGGTCATGCTGGGGGTGGTGACATCTGTCCCAAGTGTCTCAGATGGAGTCCCAGTGGGGACTGAAAGGACAGGGGCTGTCCCTGTGCTCAAAGTGGTCTGCTGGGAAGTGATGGTCTCTTGGGTGCTAAGAGAAGGAGTAGACTCAGCCGCAAGTCCTCTTGATTCAGATAAGGTGGGCCCAGGTGTGGGGACAGCGTTGTGACTTTGGGTGGAAGGAGTTCCCACAGAAGAGGTGGCTTTGGAGTAACCAGGGTCAGGCAAGGAAGGATATTCGTAACCAGAACTGGTGGTGTCCGCACTGGCTGTCTCTATAATTTTGGAAGCAGGAGTCACCTCACTCTTTCTGGTGGCTTCAGAAGATTCCAGTGTCTCTGTGGTACTTCTCCAACTTGGGTGTGAAGTGGTACCAGTCCCCAAACTTGTCTCTGCGACACTAGTCATCTCAAACTGCACAGAGCTATAGGATGACACTGAACTTGCAGCAGAGGAAGGGTGAGTCCCAGAGACTGTGGAGGACTGTGGGGCAGGTGAGGTCCCATCAGCTGAAGGCAGAGAGAAGGCAGCAGTGCTGGTGTCTGCCACAGAGGAAGGATCTGTCCATGATATCCCCTCAGACTTCGTGCTGAGGAGAGTGGACATCTCTGAAGGTGTGACACTCTGAGTCCCAGCTGAGTCCGAATCTGTGGAAGGGACTGTGGTGGGTGTATCTGAGCTAAGAGTCCTCTGTGGTATAGAGTGAGGGAACTTTGTGTGGGTGGTGACCGTTGTATCTGTAGGTTGAACAATGTCGGTGGAGATAGAAAATCTGGTGCTGGATCCTGTGTCAAAATATGGCAAGGACCAAACTGGGCCAGTGATCGAGGTCATGCTGGTGGAGGTGACATCTTTCCCAAGTGTCTCAGATGGAGTCCCAGTGGGGACTGAAAGGATAGGTGATTTGTCTGTGCTCAACATGGTCTGCTGGGAAGTGGAGGTGTCTTGGGTGCTAAGAGAAGGAGTAGACTCAGCCTCAAGTCCTGTTGAATCAGACGAGGTGGGTCCTGGTGTGGGGACAGTGTTGTGACTTTGGGTGGGAGGAGTTCCCACAGAAGAGGTGGCTTTGGAGTAACCAAGGTCAGGTGAGGAAGAAGATTGAGATCCAGAACTGGTGGTGTCTACACTGGTTTCCTCGGTGATTTTGGAAGCAGGAGTCACCTCACTCCCTGTGGTGGCTTCAGAAGATTCTAGTGTCTCCGTGGTACTACTCTGACTTGGATGAAAAGTGGTACCAGCCCCCAAACTTGTGCCTGCCATATTAATATTCTCAAATGACACAGAGGTGTTGGGGAACACTGAAATTGCAGCAGAGGAAGGGTGAGTCCCAGAGACTGTGGAGAACTGTGGGGCAGGTGAGGTCCCATCAGCTGAGGGCACAGAGATGGCGGCAGTGCTGGTGTCTGCCACAGAGGAAGGCTTTGTCCATGATACCCCTTTAGATTCTGTGCTGAGGAGAGTGGACATCTCTGTAGGTGTGACATCCTGCATCCTCTCTGAGTCCGTCTTTGTAAAGAAGACTGTGGTGGGTGTATCTGAGCTCAGAGTCTTCTGTGTTATAGTTGGAAGGGACCCTGTGTGGGTGGTGACTGTTGTTTCTGTAGGCTGAACCATGAAGGTGAAGCTAGAGAACTCTGTGATGGATCCTGTAGCAAAGTCTAGTGTGGACTGAGTCATTCCAGTGATAGAAGTCATGCTGGGGGAGGTGACATCTGTCTCCATTGTCTCAGATGGAGTCCCAGTAGGAAGATATGAAAGGACGATAGGAGTTGTCTCACTGCTCAAGGTGGTCTGCTGGGAGGTGATGGCCTCTTGATTTCTAAGAGAAGTAGACTCAGCCTTAAGTTGTGTAGATTCAGATAAGGTTGGTCCAGGTGTAGGGACAGGACTGTGACTTTGGATGGAAGGAGTTCCCAGAAAAGAGGTGACTTTGGAGTAACTTGCATCAGGTGAGGAAGGAGATTCAGATGCAGATTTGGTGGTGTGCACACTGGCTCTCTCTGTAATTTTGGAAGCAGGAGTCATCTTGGTCCCTGTGGTGGCTTCAGAAGATTCTAGTGTCTCTGTAGTACTTCTCCAAATTGGGTGTAATGTGGTTCCAGCCCCCAAACTTGTGTTTGCCACTTTAGTGTTCTCAGATGACACTGACCTTGTAGCAGAGGAAGGGCGAATCCCAGAGACTGTGGAAGACTGTGGGGCAGGTGAGATCCCATCATCTGAGGGCATAGAAAAGGCAGCAGTTGTGGCGTCTGCGACAGAGGAAGGCTCCATCCATGAAACCCCCTCAGATACTGTGCTGAGGAGAATGGACATCTCTGAAACTGTGAAACCCTGAGTCCCCTCTGAGTCCATCTCTGTGGAGGGGACAGTGTTGGGTGTATCTGAGGTAAGTGTCCTTTGTGGTATAGAGTGAGGGGACCCTGTGTGGGTGGTGGCCATTGTTTCTGTAGGTTGAACCATGCTGGTGGAACTAGAGAATCTGGTGCTGGATTCTGTGGCAAAGTCTGGTGAGGACTGAGTCATTCCAGTGATAGCAGTCATGCTGGGGGAGGTGACATCTGTTTCCATTGTCTCAGACGGAGTCACCTGAGCTGTCTCTCTGCTCAAGATGGTCTTCTGGGAAGTGACTATCTCCTGATTTCTAAGAGAAGTAGACTCAGCCTTAAGCTCTGTAGATTCAGATAAGGTTGGTCCACGTGTGGGGACAGGGCTGTGACTTTGGGTAGAAGTTTCCACAGGAGAGGTGACTTTGGAGTAACTTGCATCAGGTGAGGAAGGAGATTCAGATAAAGAACTGGTGGTGTCCACACTGGTTCTCTCTGTAATTTTGGAAGCAGGAGTCACCTGACTCCCTGTGGTGGCTCCCGAAGATTCTAGTGTCTCTGTGGTACTTCCCCAACTTGGGTGTGAAGTGGTACCAGTCCCCAAACTTGTTTCTGCCATACTAGTCATCGCAAACTGCACAGAGCTGTAGGGTGACACTGAACTTACAGCAGAGGAAGGGTGAGTCCCAGAGACTTTGGAGGACTGTGGGGCAGGTGAGGTCCCATCAACTGAGGGCAGAGAGAAGGCGGCAGTTCTGGTGTCTGCCACAGAGGAAGGCTCCGTCCATGATGCCCCCTCAGATACCATGCTGAGGAGAGTAGACATTTCTGAAAGTGTGACCCCCTGAGTCCCATCTGAGTTCGTCTCTGTGGAAGGTACTCTGGTAGGTGTATCTGAGCTCAGAGTCCTCTGTTGTATGGAGTGAGGGGATCCTGTGTGGGTGGTACCCGTTGTTTCTGTAGGTTGAACCATTGTGGTTGAGCTGGAGAATCTGGTTTTGGATCCTGTGGTAAAGTCTGGTGAAGACTGAGCTGGGCCAGTGATAGACTTCATGATGGGGGAGTTGACATCTGTCTCCATTGTCTCAGATGGAGTCACCGTGGGAAGCTCAGAAAAGGCAGGGATTTTCTTTGTGTTCCCATTGGTCTGCTGGGAGGTGATGGTCTCCCAGGTGATCCAATGGGAGAGAGTTGGCTCAGTTGTGAGCCTTGATTCAGGAGAGCTGGGTTCAATTGTGGTGATAGCTTTTTGCCACTGGGTGGAAGGATTTATGACAGGAGAGGTAGTTTTGAAGTACCCTGGGTCAGGTTTAGAACTGGTGGTACCCATTGTAGTCCCACCTGTGATGTTGGTGACAGGAGACTCCTCGGTTTTTGTGGTGGTTCCAGAAGATTCTAGTGTGTCAGCTGTGCTCCAGCTTGGGTGTGAAGTGGTTCCAGTTCCCAAATTCATGTCTACCATTTTAGTGGTTGCAACCTGTATGGGGTTGTTGGGTGACACGGAACTTGTAGCAGAAGAAGGGTGAGTCTCAGAGATTATAGAGGACTGTAGGGAAGGTGAGGTCTCATCAACTGTGGACACAAAGAAGGCACCAGTGCTGGTGTCCGTCACAGAGGAAAGCTCCATCAGTGATACCCTCTCAGATGTGACACTGTTCAGGACAGTTGACATCTTTGAAGTTGTGACACCCTGAGTCTCCACTGAGTCTGTCTCTGTGGAGGGAACTGTAGTTGTGTCAGACCTCAGTGACCCCTGTGGTGTAGAGTGAGGGGCCTCTGTGTGGGTAGTGATGGTTGTTCCTGTAGGTTTCACCATGACGGCAAAGCTAAAGAACCCGGTGCTGGATCCTGTGGTAAAGTCTGGTGACAGTGAGGACTGAGCTCGGCCAGGGTTGGATATGCTGGAGGAAGCGATATCTGTCCCGAGTGCCTCAGGTGGAGTTCCTGTGGGAAGCCCGGAAAGGGCGGGCATTGTCTCTGTGTTCCTGCTGGTCGGCTGGGAGGTGACAATCTCCTCAGTGTTCCAACTGGAGAAAGTTGACTTATCTTCAAACTCTGTAGATTTGGAAGAGCTGGAGGTAGGTGTGTGGACAGGGCTGTGACTTGGAGAAGAAGGATTTACCACAGGAGAGATGGTTTTGGAGAAACCTGGGTCAGGTGAGACCCAGGAAGGAGATTCAGATTCAGAACTGGTGGTGCCCATGTTGGTTCCATCCTTGATTTTGGAGTGAGTCACCTCACTCTCTGTGGTGGATTCAGAAGATTCTAGAGTCTTAATTGTGCTTTTCCAATGTACATGTGAAGCAGTTTCAACTCCCAAACTCATTTCTATGACATTAGATGACTCAACCTGCACAGGGGTGCTGAGTGACATTGAATTTGCCGTAGAGAAAGGGCGAGTACCAGGGGCTGCGGAGAAATGAGGAGCAGATGAGGCTATGATGGATGAGGAGGGAATGTTGGGGCCTGCCACAGAGGAAGGCTCCGTCCCTGATACCCCTTCAGACACCCTGCTCAGAACGAAGGACATGTCTGAAGGTGTGACACCCTGAATCCCCACTGAGTCCATCTCTGTGGAGGGGACTGTGGTTGGTGTATTAAACTTAAGTGACCCCTGTGGTGTAGAGTGAGGGGAACCTGTGTGAGTGAGGGTGGTTGTTTCTTTAGGTTCAAACATGAGACTTGAGCTAGAGAACCTGGTGTTGGATCCTGTGGCAATGTCTGGTGACAGTGAGGAGAGAACTTGGTCAGAGATAGAGCTCATGCTGGAGATGCCATCTGTGCTGAGTGCTTCAGATGGAGTTCCCTTGGGAAGCCCAGAAAGGGCAGGGATTGTCTCTGTGTTCCTGCTGGTCGGCTGGGAGGTGATGGTCTCCTCTGTGCTCCAAGGGGAGAGAATTGACTCAGTATCAATCTGTATAGACTGTGAAGATCTTGATGTAGGTGTGGGGACAGGACTATGACTTTGAGTGGAAGGAGTTACCACAGGAGAGGTGGCTTTGGAGTAACTTGGGTCAGGTGAGGAAGGAGATTCCAATCCAGAACGGTTGGTGCCCACGTTGGTTCCATCAGTGATTTTGGAAACAGGAGTCTCCTCACTCCCTGTGGTGGATTCAGAAGATTCAAGAGTCTCCGTGGTACTTTTCCAACTTGGATGTGAAGTGGTTCCTGGTCCCAAACTTGTATCTGCCACATTAGTGGTCTCAAACCACAGAGAGGTGTGGGGTGACACTGAATTTGCAGCAAAAAAAGGGCGAGTCCCAAGGACTCTGGAAGACTGTGGGGAAGGTGAGGTCCTGGTAATAGAGGAGGGTATGAATGTACCCACCACAGAGGAAGGCTCCATCCATGGCGGCCCTTCAGATCCCATGCTGAGGAGAGTGGGTATCTCTGGATGTGTGGCACCCTCAGTTCCCACTGAGTCTGTCTCTGTGGAGGGGACTGTGGTTGGTGTGTCTGAGTTCAGTGTCCCCTGTGGTGTAGAGTGAGGGGATCTTATGTTAGTGGTCATGGTAATTTCTGTAGGTTTAACCATGGTGGTGGACCTAGAGAACCTGGTGCTAGATCCTGTGGCAAAGGCTGGTGACAGTGTGGACTGAGCTCGGCCAGAGTTGGATATGCTGGAGGAAGCGATATCTGTCCCGAGTGCCTCATATGGAGTCCCTGTGGGAAGCCCAGAAAGGTCAGGGATGGTTTCTGTGGACCTGCTGGTCTGCTGGGAGGGGTTGGTCTCCTCAGGGCTCCTCAGAGAGGGAGTTGATGGAACTTCCAACTTTGCTGTTTCAAAAGATTCAGTCATGGCTGGAGATATGGTGGCTTGTGCTGTGAATACAGTTAAGCGAGGGGATGAGGGTCTGGATGTTTCCTGGTCAGGGGTGACTGAAGCAGGAGGCCCCCTCTCAGCACTACTGGGCCCCTCCTTGGAGATGGCTGTGTTCTGGGAAAGGTGAACCGTCCATAGTTCTGTTATCATTTCAGAGGTGACTTGTGTGTCAACTATGGGGTTGTTTGAGCTTGGAGGTGAGCTGGTTCCCAGTCCAAAGCTTGTGAACCCCATGTCCAAGGTCTTCAGCAGGTCAGAGGCCAGAGTTGCAGTTACAGAAGCAGGAGAGGAGGCAGTACTCTGAGGTAATGTGGAGGAGATTGGGATTGGTGAGGTCTCATCAGCTGAGGGCACAGAAGAGGCAGCAGTGCTGGTGTCTGCCCCAGAGGAAGGCTCCATCTGGGACACTCCCTCAGATACCGTGCTCAGGACAGTGGACATCTCTAAAGATGCAAAACCATGAGTCCCTGCTGAGTCTGTCTCTGTGGAGGGGACTGTGGCTGGTATGTTGGACTTATGTGTCACCTGTGGTGTAGAGTGAGGGGATGCTGTATGGTTACTGATGGTCATTTCTGCAGGTTCAACCATGACAGTTGAATGTGAGTGCCCAGTGTTCAATACTGTGGAAACATCTGGCGACATTGTTGACTTGGTTGCACCAGAGATTGATGTATGGCTGGAGTAGCTAACATCTGTCCTGAGTGCCTCAGACGAAGTCCCTGTGGGAATCCCAGAAATGACAGAGATTGTCTCTGTGTTCCTGCTGGTCGTTCGGGAGGTGACAATCTCCTCAGTGCTCCTCAAGGATGGAGTTGACAGAACCTCCAACTTTGCTGTTCCAGAAGATTCAGATGTGACTGGGAAAATGGTGGCATGTGCCTTGGTGGCCGTTAGGAGCAGTGGTGTGTGTCGTGATGGTTCCTTCTTAGGGGAGACTGAGGTAGGAAGCTCCCTCTCAGCACTGGCGGGCTCTGTGGAATCAGCTGTGAGTTGAGGAAGCTGAATTGTCCTTGGGGGGGAGATGGTCGTGGAGGTGACTTGTGTATCAACTGTAGAACTGCTTGAGCATGGTGGTGAGCTGGTTCCTAGTCCCAGGCTTGTGAACCCCAGGTCTGAGGTCTTCAGCAGGTCAGAGGTCAGAGATGAGGTCACAGTAGCAGGAGAGGGAGCAGTATTCTGAGATAATATGGAGGAAACTGGGATTGGTGAGGTCCCATCAGCTGAGGGCAACAGAAAGGGGGCCATGCTGGTGTCGGCCCTAGAGGAAGTCTCTGTCGATGACTTGTCATCAGACTCTATGTTCCTGCTGGATGTCCTCTCTGAGAGTGCGGGACTCTGGGTGACATCTGGGTCATTCTCTGCCTGAGGACTGGTGTTCAGGACAATTGAGCTCAAATAACCCTGTGGTGTAGGGCCATTGGGAACCATGAGGGTCAGGATGGAGGCCTCTGTAGTGTCCTTGATTTCATGGGCTGACGGTGTGGTGTCTGTTCCTGTGAACATCTCTGTGGACACCGTGGATGGTCCCAAGACAGCTGTGGTTGTGTGTTTGGAGAAGGTGACTTCGGTCCTGAGTGTCTCTGTGACTGTGTCAGTGGGCAGGTGAGAGGGAACAATGGAGGTGTCGGTGTTTGTGGTGGTTTTGTGGTCATGACTGATCTCCTCAGTGCTCCTCAGGAAGGGAGTTGACTCAGCTTCAAAGATTGTAGATTGGAAAGAGTCCAGTGAGGTCGTGGGGACAGGACTGTGACTTTGGGTGGAAGGAGATGCCACAGGAGAGGTGACTTTGGAGTAACCTGGGTCAGATGAGGAAGGAGATTCAGATCCAGAACTGGCAGTGCCCATGTTGGTTTCCTCCATGATTTTGGAAGCAGGAGTGACCTCACTCTCTGTGGTGGATTCAGAAGATTCTAGAGTCTTAATCGTGCTTCTCCAACTTGGATGTGAAGTGGTTCTGGGTCCCAAAATTGTATCTGCCACATTGGTGGTCTCAACCCACACAGGATTGTTGGGTGACATCAAATTTGCAGCAGAGGAAGGGCGAGGTGCAGAGACTGTGGGGGACTGTGGGGAAAGTGAAGTTCTGGCAGATGAGGGCATCAAGGAGGAGTGAATGTGGGTCCTCTCCACAGAGGAAGGTTCTGTCTGTGACACCTTTTCAGATCCCATTCTGTGGACAGTGGACATCGCTGAAGGTGTGACACCCTGAGTCCCTGCAGAATCTATGTCTGTGGAGGGAACTGTGGTTGTTGTATCTGACCTCATTGTCTCCTGATGTGTAGAGTGAGCAACCCCTTTGGTGACAGTTATTTCTGCAGATTCAAGCGTGATAATGGAGCTAGAGAACCTCTTGCTGGATCCCGAGGAGGTGTCTGGTGACAGTGAGTATGGAGCCGGGCCAGGAGCGGATGTCACGCTTTGAGAGGTGACATCTGTCCTAAGTGCCTTAGACAGAGTCCCCATGGGAAGCCCAGAAAGGACAGGGATTGTCTCTGTGCTCAAGCTTGTTTTCTGGGAAGTGACGGTCTCCTCAGGGCTTCTCAGTGAGGGACCCGACAGAACCTCCACCTTCGCTGTTCCAGAAGATTCAGTCATGGCTGTGGAAATGGTGGCATGTGGTGTAGTGGCTGTAAGAAGTGGGGATGTGACTTTGGATGGTTCTTGATGAGGTGGGACCGAGGCAGGTAGCTCACTCCCAGGACTGGTGGACTCAGTGGAACCAGTTGTGAGTTGAAAAAGCTTAATTGTCCCTGGAGGGGAGATGGACACAGAGGTGGCTTGGAGATCAGGTGTGGAGCTGGTCTCCTCAGTGCTCATCTTCCCTGAGATAGCTGATTCCTCCTCAGCATCTGCAGTTTCCAGAGAACCAGGCATTGGTGTGGAAACATTGGTGTTCCTGTCAGAGAAATGAGTCGCTATCACAGATGTAACTTTGGATGTCTCCTGGTCAGGTGACACCGAGGACAGTGTTTCCTGTGCAGCACCGCTGGACCCCTCCTTGGGCACAGCTGTAGTCTGGGAAAGTTGAATTTCCCCCTGATCTGTGGTGACTTCAGAAGTGACTTGTGTGTCAACTGTGGAGCTGGTCGAGCTTGGAGGTGAGCTGGTTCCAGGTGCCGAGCTTGTACCCACCATGCCCGATGTCTTCAGCAGGTCAGAGGTCAGAGGAGAAGTTATAGTTTCAAGTGAGGAAGAATTATTCTGAGGTAATGTGGAGGAGACTAGGATTGGTGAGGTCCTGTCAGCTGAGGGCAACAGAAAGGGGGCCATGCTGGTGTCGGCCCCAGAGGAAGTTTCTGTCGATGACTTGTCATCAGACTCTATGTTCCTGCTGGATGTCCTCTCTGAGAGTGCGGGACTCTGGGTGACATCTGGGTCATTCTCTGCCTGAGGACTGGTGTTCAGGACAATTGAGCTCAAATAACCCTGTGGTGTAGGGCCATTGGGAACCATGAGGGTCAGGATGGAGGCCTCTGTAGTGTCCTTGATTTCATGGGCTGACGGTGTGGTGTCTGTTCCTGTGAACATCTCTGTGGACACCGTGGATGGTCCCAAGACAGCTGTGGTTGTGTGTTTGGAGAAGGTGGCTTCGGTCCTGAGTGTCTCTGTGACTGTGTCAGTGGGCAGGTGAGAGGGAACAATGGAGGTGTCGGTGTTTGTGGTGGTTTTGTGGTCATGACTGATCTCCTCAGTGCTCCTCAGGAAGGGAGTTGACTCAGCTTCAAAGATTGTAGATTGGAAAGAGTCCAGTGAGGTCGTGGGGACAGGACTGTGACTTTGGGTGGAAGGAGATGCCACAGGAGAGATGACTTTGGAGTAACCTGGGTCAGATGAGGAAGGAGATTCAGATCCAGAACTGGCAGTGCCCATGTTGGTTTCCTCCATGATTTTGGAAGCAGGAGTGACCTCACTCTCTGTGGTGGATTCAGAAGATTCTAGAGTCTTAATCGTGCTTCTCCAACTTGGATGTGAAGTGGTTCTGGGTCCCAAAATTGTATCTGCCACATTAGTGGTCTCAACCCACACAGGATTGTTGGATGACATCAAATTTGCAGCAGAGGAAGGGTGTGATGCAGAGGCTGTGGAGGACTGTGGGGAAGGTGAGGCCACGAAGAAGGAGGGAGTATGGGTCCCCCATACTTCCTCAGACACCCTGCTCAGGATGGTTGGCATCTCTGAAGGTGTGATAACTCGAGTCCCTGCTGAGTCTCTTCCTGTGGAGGAGACTGTGATTGGTGTGTTGGACCAAAGTGTCCCCTTTGGTGTAGAGTCAGGGGACCCTGTGTTGGTGAGAATGGTTGTTTCTGTAGGTTCAACCTTGAGGGTGGAGCTAGAGAACCTGATGCTGGATCCTGTGGCAAAGTCTAGTGACAGCAATGACTGAGTCAGGCCAGGGATGGAGGCTGTGCTGGAGGAAGTGACAACTGTCCTGAGTGCCTCAGATGGAGAGTAAGTTTTCCCCATGGGATGACCAGAAAGGACAGTGGATGTCTTTGAGTTGAAGCTTGTGTGTTGGGAGACGCTGGTCTCCTCAGTGCTCACCTTCCCTGAGGTAGTTGACTTCTCCTCAGCATCTGCAGTTTCCAGAGAACCAGGCCTTCGTGTGGAAACATCGGTGTCCCTGTCAGAGAAACGAGTCACTGCCACAGATGTAACTTTGGGTGGCTCCTGGTCAGGTGACACGGAGGACAGTGTTTCCTGTCCAGTACTGCTGGGCTCCTTCTTGGGCACAGCTGTGGTCTGGGAAAGGTGAATTTCCCCCTGATCTGTGGTGACTTTAGAAATGACTTGTGTGTCAACTGTGGAGCTGGTCGAGCTTGGAGGTGAGCTGGTTCCAGGTGCCAAGATTGTGCCCACCATGTCTGATGTCTTCAGCGGGTGAGAGGTCAAAGGTGAGGTCATGGTAGTAAGAGAGGAAGCACTTCTCTCAGGCAATGTGGTGGAGACTGTTGAAGGTGAGGTCCTGTCAGCTGAGGCCACTGAGAAGCGAGCTGTGCTGGTGTCTGCCTCAGAGGAAGGCTCCATCTGTGATACCCCCTCCGGCCCCCTGCTCGTGCCTGTGGGCATCTCTGAGGGCGTGATACTCTGCCCCACATCCGCACCTGTCTGTTCCCTGGGCACTCTGGTCAACGTGTCAGAGCTGAGGGTTCCCTCTGAGGGGACGTCAGGGGAGCCTCGGTAGGCGGTGACGGCCATCTCTGTAGGTTCTGCCATGATGGTGTTGGATCCTGAAGGGAGGCCTGTTGACAGCGTGGACCACACTGAATTGGGAATAAATGTCTTCCTGGGGATGGTGACTTCCGTTCCTAACATCTCAGTCCCCTTCAGAGCGGTTGGTTCAGGGGTGACAGTGTTGGTGTTGGTCTCCCTGTTGCTCCACTGGGAGGTCCTGAACCCCTCAGTGCTGCCCTTGGACTTCGGTGTGTCTGAAGCAGCAGACATGGGTGTGGGAATTGTGGGGAGCCCAGGTGTAGACGAACTTTGGACTCCAGATGTGGGTATTGAGTGCTGCAGCTCAGCCAGGTCCGAGACCCGGGACTCAGGTTCAGATCTGGGGGTTTCCCCTGTGGAAGCAGCCATGATTTCAGAACGATGAGGCACCTCGCTCTCCCGGGCGACCCCTGATGTGCTCAGTTGCTCTGGCGTGGGACTTCTCAAATGAGGCTGCTGTTTGCTCGTGGATTCCTCACTCACAGTTGCAACCATCTCTGAGGGGACAGGCCCTTGAGTTCCAGCCTGGTCAGTCTTTGTCCAGGGGCTTGTGGACATGGCTAAGCTGAGAGTCTCTGGAGGTGCAGAGTCAGTGGAGCTCGCGTGGGTCATGATGAGCCTTTCTGGTTGTTCTGCCACGTTGGTGGAGCTAGGGAGGCCGGTTCTGGGTCCACGGTAAGTCCCTGGCGAGACCGTGGACTGCACTAGGCCAGGGACAGATGTCCTGCTGGAGGAGGAGGTGACCACTGTCCTGAGTGCTTCAGACAGAGTCCCCGTGTGAACACTAGGAAGGACAGTGAGTGTCTCTGCATCTGGGCTGATTTGTGGGGATGTGACAATCTCCTCGCTGTTCCTGAGGGAGGTGTGTGATATGATTTCGAGTGTGGCCATCTGGGAAGACCCAGACCTGGCTGAGGAGACAGCACTGGGCCCCTGGAGAGAGGATGATGACACTGTAGATGTGAATGTGGGTGTCTGCAGCTCAGTGGAGACAGGGGAATGCCAGTCGGGTCCGAATCTTATGGTGCTCATGTTGGTGGCAGCTGTGATCTCAGAAATCTGAGTCCCCTCACTCTGAAGGGTGGTTGCTTCTGACCTATCGAAGGTGGAACTTCTCGAAGTTGCATAAGAAGAAGTTCTGGGGCCCACACTCATGTCTACAGTGCCTCTGGTCCCCATGGGGATGGGAGTGTTGAGTGACATCAAGCCTACAGCAGAGGAAGGATGACCCTCAGGTGACCCTGAAGAGGTCATGTCAGCTGAGGGCACCAAAAAGGAGGCAGAGCTGGCATCTTCCACAGAGGAAATCTCCACCCCTGATGCATCCTCAGGATCCATGATGACAGGGGTTGCCTCTGTGGAGAAGACCCTCTGTGCCACAGTCAGGTCTGCCTTATCCTGGAGTTCTGTGTTTGGTGTGTCTGAACTGAGTGTCTCCTGGGAGTTGGAGTGAGGGGAGCTTGTGGTGACGACCATTTCTCTAGGTTCAACTGTGATGGTGGAGCTAGAGAAGCTGGTGCTGGATCCTGTGGCAAAATCTGGTGACCATGATGACTGAGTCAGGCCAGGGATGGAGATTGTGCTGTAGGAGGGGACATCTGTCCTGAGTGCCTCAGATGAAGTCCCTGAGTAAAGACCAGAAAGGACAGTGAGTGTTTCTGAGTTAAAGTTTGTGTGTTGGGAGACACTGGTCTCCTCAGTGCTCAACTTCCCTGAGGTAGTTGATTCCTCCTCAGCATCTGCAGTTTCCAGAGAATGTTTCTCTGGAAACATCGGTGTGGAAACATTGGTGTCCCTGTCAGAGAAATGAGTCACTGCCACAGATGTAACTTTGGGTGGCTCCTGGTCAGGTGACACGGAGGACAGTGTTTCCTGTCCAGCACTGCTGGGTCCCTGCTTCGGGTCAGCTGTGGTCTGGGAAAGTTGAATTTCCCCCTGATCTGTGGTGACTTCAGAAGTGACTTGTGTGTCAACTGTGGAGCTGGTCGAGCTTGGAGGTGAGCTGGTCCCAGGTGCCGAGCTTGTGCCCACTATGTCTGAAGTCTTTAGTAGGTCAGAGGTCAGAGGTAAGGTCACCATAGCAGGAGAGAAAGAATTTCTCTTAGGTAATGTGGTGGAGACTGGGGAAGGTGAGGTCCTGTCAGCTAAGGCCACTGAGAAGTGAGCAGTGCTGGTGTCTGCTCCAGATGAAGGCTTCCTCTGAGACACCCCCTCGGGCCTCTTGCTTGTGTTCCTGGGCACTTCTGAGGGTGGAGATTCCTGAGTCCCAACCTGGTCAGACTTGTCCTGGGGGGCTGTGGTGGATGTGTCTGAGGTGAATGTTCTCTGGGGTGACCAGTCAAGGGAGCCTGTGGTGGTGACAGTCACTTCTGTGGGTTCCTCCTTAGTAGTGGCTCCTGCAAGCTGTGGGCCTAATCCTGTGGGCATACCTGGTGACTGGGAGGCCTGAGGAGAAACAGGAACAAAGGTCCTGCTGGAGGTGGTGACTTCTGTCCCAGGTGCTTCTGAAGGGCCTCGGGGGGCTTCAGGGGCTGTCTGGCTAGTGCCAGCCTCAGCATGTCCTGTGGTAACTTCAGAAGTGACTTGTGTGTCAGCCATGGAGCTGGTTGACTGGGTTGACTCAATGTTGTCTGTTGAAGTTCTCGAAGAGTGAGGCAGGGGTGTGGGAACAGAGGGGAACCCAGGGGTAGGAGGAGATGCCCCTAGAGAGGTGACTGTGGAAGGTTCGAGGCCCACTGGGACTGAGGACCGTGAGTCAGGACCAGAGGTGGTGGCACCCACGTCACCTCCCGCCATTGCTTCCCTTTCTCTGGGGCCTGCCGACGCCTCTGGTGTCTCCGTGTCCGTCACGCTCGTAACAGCTGGTTGGGAGCTGCCCTGTGTTTCGCCCCCTGCTTGTTCTGAAGTGGTGACATGGCTCATGGTGGTCCAGGATGTGGAGAGCACTGCAGATGGGGATGGTGGTTGTGAAGGGGGAGCAGCCTCGATTTCGTCCACAGACTCACCCATCCCAGAGGGGTCTGTGGCCTCACCGTGGCTTCCTGTGGCAGCCTCTGTGAGTGCCATAGCTTCAGACACTGTCCTTGGCACCTCCGCCCTGGTGGATTGGTCCGCAGGGAAGCCCACGTGTTCAGTGGCTCTCGAGGCATGGAAAGAGGGTGCCTGGGTGACCACTGATGACCAGGGCGACCGAACCAAGCCTGGGCTAGAGAGTCCATCAGAGGCCATAGCCTCAGTCCGGGCCTCCACACTCAGAGCCACTAAACTGGTGCCTGCGTCTGAGCTGGTGGCTGTGTGTGTCTGAGACGCTCCGAATTCAGTGGCCCCAGGATGGTCCAGCTCTGCTCCAGTCCTGGTGGGGTCTGGCAAGGAGGTGACTGATGCAGAAACACCAGGCTGCTGATGTGATAGCCCTGGGGATCCCTCCGTGGTGGCCACTCCTGGGCGGCTGAAGCCCTCGGTGCTCAGAGCAGCGCTGGGGTGCGTGTTTCCGGCCTTGCTAGGGGCAGCTGATGGAGATCTCACCCACGCTGCAGGACTCACAATTCCCGGCTCTGGGAGAGTGGGACCCAGGCGGGGGGCCATGGACGGGCTCCCCCCTACAGTAGCTTCTGTGCTCTCACTCCTGCTGTGGTTCTGTGGGTCTGTGGACATTGGGGCCAGACCTTCAATTGAACTCGGCCTGGCTTTGCTGCTGGGTGGACGATGTGGTCCCTCTGACAAAGCGAGTCTAGAATTCCCTGCTGTTGTTGCATCCTGCCCTGCACCGTTAACTGCAGAGAAAGGTGGCCATAAGGTGGGAGGGCTGGGGTTGGCCTCCAAAGGGCTTTCTCGAGAAACTCTGTTCCCCCGAGTCGCTGAGGTAGTAGCAGTGACTGACGAGTCCCACGCCCCCGTGGACAGCTGGGGCGGTGTACTTTGTCCTGCGGTGGGCAGGAAGCTGTGGGCTGCCCCACTGGGCGCGGGGTGCTCTGTAGACATCACCCAAATGGGCATGGACTCTGACTTGCCTCTCCTGGGAGGTGGGCTCAGGGGTACAGGAGCAGAGCTGGGCACCCCAGAGGACTCAGGAAGGCCTCGGGAGTCTGGGAGGCTTAAAGGCTGTGAAGGGCTCACGTAGGCAAGGTCGGTGGACATAGGAGAGAGGCCACTTTCCGGCGTGGCCCTGGCGTCTAACTCAGCGTTGGAGGTTGTTGGCGGAGGCGTGGCCTGAGTGGCAGGAGATTCTGCATCTTTGGAGACGGAAGCCACATCCGGGCCACCCTGGGGGCCTGATTTGGGGACAGAAGTGAATGTGGGTGACCCCATCGGGATGAGTTTGGGGGTGGAGGAGCTGGTTTCAAGGAGCATGGCGGTGACAGCCAGGCGACCCCAGCTCCCTGCTGGTGTGGACATGGTGGCTAGGGTGATGTCAGGGGTTCGCAGGGTGGTGGGGACGGAGGTCACGGTCCCTGGAGAGGCGACGCCCTTGATGTTGAAGCCTGTGGGTGGCGCACGCTGAGTTGGTGTTCCTGGAGGTGGTGTGGGGTCGGTGGCCCCCGCCGTGGGGGTAGCCACGAGCGTCTCAGGCGCTATTGAGAGGGGTGCGCGGGGCGGAGGGAGCAAGTCTGTGGTGACCTGCCATCCCGCGGGCAGAGAGAACGGCGGAGACCAACCCGTGGTCTCCCCAGGCCGTGCATCCATGGTCACGGGGGAGACCCGGAGAGTCGGGGTACCAGAAACCCGCTTTGACCTCTCTGAAGAGTCAGTCACCCCTGAGGACGCAGCCTCACCGGCCCCTCCACTCGCCCTGGACATCTCGCTCACGTCGGCGGCCCCAAACCACGTGTGGGTTCTGACCTCGGGGCTGCCCATCACGGTCCCCCTCTGGGTGGTGGCTGGGAAGCTCGGAGCGCCTGCCCGGCTCAGAGGGACAAGGCTGTCCCCTGCGCTGGTGCTGGGGAGCTGAGCTGAGCCCAGGATACCTTCCAGTGTTGGTTCTGGAAGGCCTGTGCCCAGAGGCCCGTGTGACGGGGTGCTCCCCATCACGGGAGTATATTGGAGTGCCATCTCTGTGGGGGTCCCCCCCAAGAACCTGGAGCTGCCGCCGGCCTTCAAGTAGCTCCTGCCTGTCCCGGTCGTGTCTGCGGTGGAGATTCTTGTGGACGTGCCTGTGGTCAGAATGTCATGTGGTCGGATATGGGAAAATGGGGCACGGGGGGGAACCCTGGTTTGGCAGAGTCGCTGACTCACTTCTGGGGTTCTGTTTCCTAGTTTTGCTTCATGCTCTGTCCTTCCTTCCTGGGAAGGCCATGGGGACCTTCCATATATGCTCTGAGAGACTGGACATCAGGGATGTACTGGCGGTCCCTAAGGATTCGGGGCATTTGACTTGGGGGCCTGACAGATGGTACGGGGCGGTGGGGGGGGGGGTGTCAGGTGTTGGCCTTGCATGCGACTGACCTGGGTTTGATGCCCTGCACTGCTTAGGGTCCCCCAAGCCCTGAGTGCAGAACTGGGAGCAAGCCCTGGGCATTGCTGGGTGTGGCTCCCCAAAACTGGGGGGTAGGGATGGATAGATAGGACAGCCGGGAAGGTGCTTGCCTTGCATGCCGCTGACCTGGGTTCAATCCCTGGTGCCACATGGGGCCCCTCCCCTGGACCCCACCAGGAGTGATCCCTGAGCATCACCAGGTGTGGCCCCCAGACAAAACAAGTTTTGACTTTTTTGTTCAGGAGATGTTGGCAGTCTCTGGAGCTGGAATTGTCAGATCTTGGGGTCACAGGGATGGGGGTGTGCCGGGGTCTTTTCTGCACAGGAGGCGTTGCTGGCCTCACCTCTGGTTCCCTTTAGCACCTGTACTGATGGGGTTGAGTGCTACTTAGCAACTTCCGGTCACCCCCAAGTGGCCTCTTAATCCTATTTCACACCAGTGCAGTATCTGTAGTTGAAAAGGAAGAGGGCAAGGAGGAGGGAAACCATCCTTCCTCTGCTTGTGGGATCTTTTATTTCTTTTTTTTTTTTTTTTTTTTTTTTGCTTTTTGGGTCACACCCAGCGATGCACAGGGGTTACTCCTGGCTCTGCACAGGAATCACTCCTGGCGGTGCTCAGGGGACCCTATGGGATGCCGGGGATCGAACCTGGGTTGACCGCATGTAAGACAAACACCCTCCCCGCTGTGCTATCTCTCCAACCCCTCCCTGTGGGACTTTGTCACAGAGGCTCCTCTCTCTCTCTCTCTCTCTCTCTCTCTCTCTCTCTCCCTCTCTCTCTCTGCCCATCCTGACAAGGGCAAGAGTTGGTCAGACTCTCCAAGGGACCTAGCCAAAACCCTTTTAAAAATTAAAAAAATAAATCGGGGGACGTTGTGGCCACACCGGGGCTGACTCCAGGTCCCGCACTCAAGGATTATTCCTGCCAGGGTTCAGACCCTGTGTGTGCCGCGGATCGAATCCAGGTCAACCGCACGCGAGGCAAACGCTTTACTCCCTCGCTGTGCTCGCTCTCTGACTTCCATCACAAACTTAAAACAGAAAACTGTTCCACGAATCCAGGAAACTCTCCCCCACAGCACCCTAAGCGGAGTCGCTGGGAGGTGAAAATCCAAGCTCAGACCCACCAGCTCACTTCATTCCGCCATCCACCCCCAGCCACCAGACTCTGGAGCCCAGCACCAGGCCAAGGACCCGCATTGGAGGGGACAGAGCAGTTGGGACACTTACCTGGTGGGGTGACGGTCACCAGGGATTCGGGCTCACTGGCTGACCTGCTGGCCACTGCCTCTTCTCCTGGACGCGGCCTCCCTGTGGTGTTGCCCAAAGATGATGCTGGCCCTGCGACGTGGGGGGACAGGGGTCACTCAAGGAGGACACGGGGCACCCAGGGCTGCACAAGGAGTGTCCCTGGAGGGAGGACTCAGCCCGGTAATGCCCCCGCAGGGCTCTGTGGAGACTTTTAAGGAGCAATCGGTCCTGCCCAGACCTGGAAACAGGACAAAGAGTTATGACATGAGGGGCCCCCCAATGCAGGGCCCACGTTGGGGGCCTGGTGGAGGAAAGCGTGGCGTTGGGGTGATGAAACAGTCAGTGATGACTTCGAGAGGTGGAGGGGAGGGGAAGGAAGGGAAGAGGAAGCGAGTGGAGAGAAGGGAAGAGAGGGAAGGGAAAGGGAGGGCAGGGAAGGAAGAGGGAGAAAAGGGAGGAGGGAAGGAGAAAGGGAAGCAAAAGATGAAAAAAGGAAAGTGAAGAGGAAGATCTGAAAAGAAAAGACTTCCATATGGAGAAGCCCATGCTCTCTCTCTCCTTTTTTTGGGGGGGGAGGTCACACCCAGCAATGCTCAGGGGTTTCTCCTGGCTCTGAGCTCAGGAATTAGTCCTGGTGGTGCTTGGGGGACCATACTGGATGCTGGAAATAGAACCGGGTTCGGCCGCATGCAAGGCAAACGCCCTGCCACTGTACTATCACTCCAGCACAGACCATGCTCTCTTAATTTTAAATTTTATTTTGTTTTTTGGGCCACCCCTGGTGATGCTCGGGGATTACTCCTGGCTCTGCACTCAGGGATCACTGCTGACAGTGCTCAGCGGACCCTATAAGGTGCCAGGGATCGAACCTGGGCTGACGGCATGTAAGGCAGATGCCCTCCCCACTGTCCTATCATTCTAGTCCCCTTACTGCTCTAGGGGACAGGAAGAGAAGAGGTTGGCCAGACCAGATGCAGTGGACAGGGGGCCGGCTGTGGGCAGCGGGGGACGGCAGTGGGGAGGGGACAGTGTCCTACCCATGGAGGTCTTGGCCGGCTCCCAGGGCCTGTCACTCACCATAGTCCCTGTGACTGAGCACTGAGGGGACCCTAGTGCTCAGGGACCATGGGGAGACATGAGGGACCCCAGAGCTGGGGGGGTGAGTCATCCCCAGAACAGCAGCCCAGCCCTGGCTTCT